GACGTCGCGGAGCGCGGCCTCGGCCTCGCGCTTCCGTTTCGCGAAGGGCGGGTACTTGGCGTCGAAGCCCGCCGCCGCGGACACGAGGAGAAAGGCCAGCGGCCGCGCGGGCCGCGGCGGCGACCGCCGGAGGACGACCTCGAGCGCCGCGGCCGCGCTCTCGACGCCCTCGACGTCCGCGGAGCCCGCGGCGTCGTCGCTCGCGCGCGCCTCCTTGACCTTGTCGAGGCGCGGCAGCCGGAGCTCGAACAGGCGGCCCGCCTCGCGGAGGAGCGCGTCCGCGCCGTCCGTGGCCACCGTCTCCGACGTGCCCTCGTAGGACGACGCGCAGTAGACGACGCTGTCGGCGCCGGCGAGCGCCGCGGCGACCGCGCCGGGGTCCCGCAGGTCCGCGACGCGCATCTCGAGGCGCCGCAGGCGCCGCGCGGCCCGCGCGGCGACGACCTGGTTCTGGCCGAAGGGCGTCATCGCCGCGTAGTCCGCGTCGGACGTGTCCGCGAGCGAGTCGTCCTCGGGCGCCGCGTACGTCGCGGGCGAGTCGAAGAGCGGGCCGCCCTGGGACGTGTCCCGCAGGATCCACCTAGAGCGCGGGACCTTTCGATGGGCGACGCGCGCGCGCGGCGAAGCGAAGTGAGGTGAAAATTGCACGCGACCCGGGCGCGTACGGCGCCTCGATGGTGCCCACCAAGCTCTCGGCGCCGACCTCGTAGCTCAGGCGCCCGTAGGCCTCGGGCTCGGACGAACGGATGATGCAGCGCACCGACGCGCCTCGCTCGAGCAGCGCGCTCGCGACCGCGGACCCGAGCCGGCCGTTCGCGCCGGTGACCACGATCGTCGCGCCGTCGTAGCTCGGCGCCTCGTCGACGAACTCGGGCCGCCCGACGGGCTCGCGCTTCGGCAGCGTCGCCTCGAGCACCGCCGCCTCGCGCCGCAGCCGCTCCGCCTCCGCCAGCAAGTCGTCGGCGTCCGACGCGTAGGTGCGCGTCGCGACGCGGCGCGCGACGCGGCGCGTCGGCGCGAGGGCGCGAGAGCTCGCTGCGAGCAGCAGCGCGAGTAAGAGTGCGCGATCCATGCTGCGCTGGTTGTGGATGCGCCAAAGGTGCAGCCACCGTGGCAGCGCTGCGATGTTGCAGCACGCCCCTGGGAGCAACGCAAACGTGCGGCCTCTAAGCCCCCCCCCCCCCCGCCGTCAGGGCGTCGACGCCTCGCGCGGGCGCTCCTCCTTGGCCTCGGCGTCGCCGTCGTTGGCGTCTGCGAGCTGGTGGCCGAAGGCGGACGCGGACGCGGTCCGCAGGCTGAGCTTGGGCACCGTGGCGCGCATGTTCGGGAGCTGGGACGGGGGCACGGGGTCGCAGAAGAGCGCCGCGTAGTTGCGGCAGCAGCCCCGGTCGTGGGGCTTGTCCTTGCCGTCCCAGTAGCCCTTGACGCGCTCGTTCGTCGTCTCCGCGAGCGCGACGAGGCGCAGGTGGTAGGAGAGGAGGGCCGCGAGGCTCAGCAGGAGGAAGGTCAGGTAGGCGGCGAGGGCCGTGGCCACGGGCCGCGCGGACGCCCACTCGTAGGCGACCCGGAGCCCGTCGTCGGGCGCGCGCTCGCCCGCGAGCGCGAGCTCGTAGAGCACGGCGCCGTCGATGAAGGCCGCCGCCGCCGACGTCGCCAGCAGGAAGGCCACGAAGCCCCGGTAGTTGCGCAGGCCGATGCACGTGCCGACCCAGGGGCAGTGGTGGTCGAAGCGCTCGACGCAGTTGTCGCACGTCGCGCAGTGCTTCGACCGCGGCGGCCGGGGCACGGCGCAGGTCGCGCACCACTGGGGGATCTCCCAGGCCGTCTCGCCGTCGGCCTCGTTGAAGAAGTACGGCAGGCCCGTCTCGTCGTCGTGGAACTTGCGCCAGCCCGGCGGCAGCAGCGGCGCGTAGCCCGGCGCGGCGTCCTCGCGGTACCGCGCGGCCCAGGCCCGCCGCGGGATGATGCCCGGGTCCCGCAGCGCCACGCGCCAGAGCAATACCAGAGCCAGTATACCAAGAAACAGCGCGGCGCCCTTGGCCTCGACCGCGGCGCTCGACAGCAGGAAGCCGCCGCGCGCGCTCAGGAAGGGCCGCGCGCAGAAGACGGCGACGGGCGCCACGATCATGGCGTTCGACAGCAGGAACTGCTCGCAGTCCGCGCCGAACATGCACCGCCCGCCGCACGCGAACGCGTTCCGCCCGGGGAAGCTCCGCCAGAGCCGCTCGCCGTCCTCCGCGCCGCCGAGGCTGCTCCGGCCGTCGTCGTTGACGCTCAGCGCCAGCGAGTCGCTGATCGAGCTCGTGTGGAGCGCCGCGTTCGTCGCGGCCATCTCCGCCAGGGCGCCGGTCGCGCGAGGCGCCGCGGGGCGCGCCGGGGGCCGACCACGACGGCGGCGGCGAGGCGGGCGGTCGGGCGCCGGCGCTCTCGAGCGCGACCGAGCGCTATGGACGAGCGCTCTCGCACGTCGGCGCGGGCACCCCGCGCCGTGTGCGCCCGAAGGACGGCTATCGACGGGCACCAGAGCACCGCCTCTGGACGTCGTGCTGTGATCTGATTGGCCGATTTGCCACAGGCGAGCGCGCGCGCGGCGCCGCCATGCGCGAGGCGTGAGTACGCAGACGCCTCGCACACGAAGTCTTACGACGGTGGCCCCTCCTCCCGCCGCGGGTCGCGGTCCACGACGCGCCACCGCTCCGCGATGCGCCGCCGGACGTCGCGGTTCGCGGACCTGACGTTGTCGACGGCGTGGGGCAGCCCCGTCCGCGCGAACTGGTAGAGGGCCGCGCCGAGGTGGTAGAGGAGGTAGCACGCGCCGACGACCGCGAGCAGCACGAGCGCGGTCTGGATGTTGTCGTCCTTCCTCGAGCTGAAGCGCCGCCGGAACGCGAAGTTGTGCGCGAGGTTCGCGGGTCCGACGATCGACGCGAAGGCGTAGACGCCGCTGGCGACGAGCGCCGAGAGGCTGCCGACGCTCAGGTGGTGCACCACCGCGCGCTCGCTGAGCCGCGGCAGCGCGCGCGCGGCCCGGCGCCCGAGGACGACGCGCGGCGCGAAGCCCAGCACGCCCGCCGCCGCCACGAAGGCGAGCAAACGGAGGCCGAGGTAGCGCGCCACGGTCAGCGCGAGCTCGCCGCGGGGGCCGAGCCGCGCGGACGGCGCGCGCGTCGCGTCCTCCAGGACGTAGTCCGCCTTGCAGAGGCCGCAGCGCGTCAGCGACGACGGGTCGAAGCCGCTCACGCGGCACGCGTCGAGGCACGACCGGTGCACGTACTTCATCGTGCCCGCGCAGCGGCACGGCGCGATGAGCGCGTCGTCCGCGTTCTCTCCGACGACGTCGAAGCAGACGCGGCAGACGTCGTCGTCGTCGCCGGGCGGCGGCGGCGCGGGTTCCGCGGGCGGCGGCAGCGCAGAGTCCGCGGGCGGCGGCGCCGGCGGTGCGTCGATCTCCGCGCCCGCCTTGCGCGCGTCGACGGACGATGCCAGGCTCATGCTCACAGGCTTGCGGCGCTGCTCCTCCTCGGCGGGCGGCGGAAAGAAAAAGTCCAGCATCATGGCACAGAAGGAGCAAGGACCATTGTGAGAGAGCTGAAACAACAATTCAGCAACATCGATGCAACAACAACTTGAGTTGTCAAATGGTTGACGCGATGGGCTGCTTCTCTCGAAGCCATCCACGCTAAAGCGCGATGTACGACGACGATATCAGCGACACGATCAGCGTCGTGAGCCTGCTGAGCCGGGGCCGGGGCTGGCAGGAGGTGCTCGAGCTCCAGGCCCAGTTCGCGCTCGCCTCGGGCCTGTGCCTCGTCGCCTACGTCTTCGTCCTCGTGTCGCGGAGCCTGGTTCCCGACGCGCTGCCCGAGCTGCCCGAGTCGCGCGTCAGCGTCGTCGTGCGGGGCGGCGAGCGGGTCCTGCGGCTGCGCCACTGCAGCGGCGCGTCGTGCGACGTCTCGGAGGTCGGCGCGCGCGTCACGCGCTACGTCACGGCGCAGGGCGACGACGCGCTCGCCGGCGGCGGGTGCGTCGCGCCGTTCTTCAGCGTGGACGCGTCCGACGACGCCGAGGGCGGCGCGCGGCGGCGCGCCTGGGACGTCGACCGCGCGGCGACGACGGTGCTGTCCGACGGCGCGTGTAGTGCCGGCTTCGGGCTGCGCCTCGACGGCGGCCTCCGCGTCGCCGCGACGGTGCACCTCGACTGGCGCGCGCTGACCATGTCGCTGCGGGTCATCAACGCGGCGGCGCCGTCGACGGGCCTCGAGCACCGGCCCCAGGTCGGCGTCAACACGCGCGCGCCGGCCGCGCAGGGGCTGGAGCGCGTCTTCGTCCAAGGTCTAGAAACGGCGACCTACTACGACGCCCTCGCGCCGGAGGAGGACGCCGTGAAGCGCGGCGGCGACGACGGCGTCTCGTTCGCATCGGCGCCCCTCGACCGCACGTACTACGGCTCCACGCGCCGCGACCGGCCCGTCGTCGTCCGCGGCGTCTCCTCCAAGGCCGCGCTCAAGCTCGCGTCGCTCGCGCACGTCGACGGCGGCCGCGCCGTCTACCCGGACGTGACCCTCGCCGCGGCGCCCGGCGACGCCGCCGTCCTCGTCCAGGCCGCGCTCCTCACGGACGACCGGCCGCCGCTCCGGCCCGGCGGCGCGCTCGTCTTCACGCACGTCGTGGAGTCCATCGGCCGCGTCCGCGAGCTCCCGCCGCCGCCGCGCCCGCGGCCGACGACGCCGCGCCGGACGAGGTCCCGTGCCTCGAGAGCGCGACGAGCCCCGCCGGGTCGACCTCGCGGCGGCCGCCGGCGCGCCACGACATGGAGTAGCCGGTGTTAAACAAAACGGGCGCGCCTCCCCCCTACTGGAGCTGGCCGCACTGGGCGATGGTGACGATGCCGCGCGTGCGGCCCTGGGCCGTGCCGCAGTCCTCGATCATGCGGACGACGTCCATGCCCGCGGACACGAAGCCGAAGACCGTGTGCTTGCCGTCGAGCCACTCGCAGGGCTGGAGCGCGATGAAGAACTGGGACGAGTTCGTGTTCTTGCCGCCGTTGGCCATGGCCAGCGCGCCCGCCTTGTCGAACTTGAGCTCGAAGTTCTCGTCCGCGAACTTCTTGCCGTAGATGCTGTGGCCGCCGGACCCGTTGTTGCGCGTGATGTCGCCGCCCTGGGCCATGAAGTCGGGGATGACGCGGTGGAAGCGGCAGCCCTTGTACCAGAGGTGCTGGCGCGAGCTGCCGCGCACCAGATCGCCGCGCTCGCCCGTGCAGAGGCACCGGAAGTTCTCGCACGTCTCGGGGCAGACGTCGTCGCGGAGCGTCATCTCGATGCGCCCGACGGGGTCGCCGGAGATGGCCATGTCGAAGAAGACGACGGGGTGGCACTCGCCGGGCACGTAGGGCGTGATCTCGTACTTCCAGTCCGCCTCGCCGCCCTCGAGGAGGAGCGTCGTCACGGAGTTCTCCAACTGGAGCTTCGCCTCGAGGTCGGGCCGCATGGGGCTCTCGCCCTGGTCCACGCGCCGGTCGTCGTACTGCAGGCCCTTCTTCGTGTGCTTGCGCAGGCCCGTGTCGTCCTGGCCGCCGATGCCCTTGTTCCCGTAGAGCGGCGTCTGCCGGGCGCCCGTCGTGAGCGGTGTGAGCCGCTGCCGGTCCACGGCCCCGCCCTGCTTCGGCTTCGCGCGCATGCCGTAGGACATGGTGGCGACGCGCGGCGCTGCGCGCGACGCCGGTCGACGACGACGATGTGGCGCTGCGCGAGGCGGACGGTGGGTCGCGCTGCCTACGACGCTGCAAGACGACTTTTCGACGGCGTGGAGAGCACCACTCGTCTCGCGTCAACCTCGCTGCTCCGTCGCGACACCTTGATCCCAAACGGAACGCCCGCCAAGCAAACACGATGTTGGGAACTGAAAACACGCCGTTCTCAAAGTCGAACGGGCTCTCCGCGCGGCGCGCCGCCGAGCCGTAGAGCTCCGCCGCCCGGCGCGCGCGCTTCTGATCGAGCGCGTTGCCTCCTGCTTCTCCCGTGAATGCTGCGCACGTTCACGGACGTGGCCAAGGTCGAGGAGCCGCGCCACCCGCACACGCTCGCGCGCGTCGCCGGTGAGGGCTTCAGCGACGACGAGAGCGACGCGGAGTCGCGGCGGTCGTCCATCGCCGAGGACATGGACCTGAGCGACTCCGACGACGACATGGACCTGTCGGAGAGCGACGGCGCGTCGCCCGAGCCGCGGCGGCGCGTGCGCTTCAGCGTCGAGCCCGCGGAGATCGAGGTCAAGTGCCTCGACACGGGCGAGACGCACCTCGCGGACGCCGTGACGCCCGGCGCCGAGAAGCCGTCGCGGCTCCGCCGGTCCCAGTTCCTCGCGAAGCAGCGCGCGAAGCGCGGCTCCGACGCGGCGCAGCGCCTCTCGCTCGGCGCCGTCGTCCGCGACGACGTCGAGGCCGAGCTCTCCAAGGCCGCCGCGGACCTGCCGCGGCGCCGCGCGGCGACGGCTTCCGACGACGGGCCCGCGCCGCCGCCGGCCGCGCCGCCGCCGCGCGTCTCCGGGGGGCCGCCGCCCAAGGTGTCGGCGCGCGGCTCCCAGCCGCCGAAGAAGGGCGACCCCTTCTCGTCGCGCCGCGCGCCGCCGCCGCCGCGCGCGGCCTACGTGCCCGCGCCCGCGCCGCCGCCGCCGCCGGGCGCGACGCCGCGCGCCGCGGACGTGCCCCGCGCGACGGAGTGGGACGACTGGGCCCGCGAGACGGGCGTCGCGCCGCCGCCCGCGCCGCCCAAGCCGCCGCCGCCCAAGGACACGCGGTCGCGCGCGATGACCGCGCCGCCGCCCGGGCCGCCGCCGCCGCGGCCCAGCCCCAAGCTCGAGCGCGAGCTCTCCTGGACGCCGCCGCCGCCGCCGCCGCGGCCCCCGCCGCCGCCGGCGTCGCCCGCGGGCAACGGCAGCGACATGGACCTCGCCGCCGACGACTCCGACGACGCCGCGCCGCCGCCGCCGGCCGCGACGACGCCCCTCCAGAAGCCGCCGTCGCCCGCGGGGTCGCTCTTCCGACGGGCCCCCGCGAAACCGCCGCCGCCGCCGGGCTCCGTGTCGTCGCCGAAACCGCCGCCGCCGCCGGGCTCCGTGTCGACGCCCAAGCCGCCGCCGCCGCCGGGCTCCGTGTCGTCGCCGAAACCGCCGCCGCCGCCGGGTGTCGCGCGCGCCGCCGCGGGGGCCGCCCGCGGGGCCGCCGCCGCGCGACTTCGCGGCGGACGTCGCCAGCGCCGCCGCGGCCCGGGGCGACTCCGCGCCGCCCGCGGCGCGCGAGCTGCCCGAGCCGGACGCGCCACCCGCGAGCGCCGAGCCCCCGGTCGCCGCCGCGGACGAGCCCGCCGTCGCCGTCGCCGCGACGCCCGCGCCGGAGCCGCCGCCGCCGCCGCCGGCACCGTCGCCGAAGCCGCCGCCGCCGCCCGTCGTCGCGAAGCCGCCCGCGCCGGCCGCGCCGCCGGTCCCGGCCGAGATGCCCGCGCCGCCGGCCCCGGCGAAGCCGCCGCCGCCGCCGCCGCGCGTGCGCGCGGCGTCGGCGCCCGACCGCCTCTTCGCGCCGCCGCGGCCGCCGCCGCCCATCGCGGCGACGCCCGACGCCGGCGCGGCCGACGAGGCGCCGCCCGCGCCGCCGCCGCCGCCGCCGCCGGCGCCGACGCCGCCCCGGCACCGGCACGAGGCGCCCGACTTCGCCGCCTTCGCCGCGGAGGGCTTCGCCCACGACGCGGACGAGGCCGACGACCTCGCCGAGGCCGCGGAGGCGCACGCCGCGCGCGAGGCCGCCGCCGCGCGCGCCGCGGCGGCCGGTGACTTCGAGGACAGCGACGACGACGGCGAGGGCGAGGCCGCGACCGAGGCCGCGGCGCGCGAGGACGCCGAGGCCTTCGTCGCGCTCCTCGACGAGTACGAGGCCCTCGTCCACGAGCGTCAGGCCCTCGCCGCCCTCGTCGCGGCGTCGGCCAAGGCCGAGGTCGCCGCCGCGGAGCGCATCGCCGCGGAGCTCGAGGCCGTCGACGCGGAGGCCGGCGACCTCGAGCGCGAGCGGGCCCGCCTCGGCGCGCTCCTCCGCAGGCGGCAGCAGGCCACGCCGACGCGTCGCCCCAAGTACCTCGCCGAGACCGTCTCGTCCCACTCCAAGGTCGCCGCGCCCGCGTCCGCGCGGCGGACGCGGCCCTGCATCAACAACGTCCAGCCCTGCGTCACGACGCGGGCCGTCGCGCCTTAAGAGGATGGGTGCGCGAGCTCCAGCTCCGGGAGCGCGGCAACCCGCTGCCGCGCGGCGTCGCTCCTCCGGTAGGAGAAGCCGCGCGGCGTCGCCCGGGCGCTGTCCAGCGCGCAGTAGACGAGCACGCAGGTCACGTGTTTCGTCAGTTCCATCTCGCACACCTCGGCGGGAAAGAGGCGGCCGTCCGACAGCCGCTCGAACCAGGCCGCCGCGTCGTCCGGCACCGCGGCCCTCGGGAGCAGCAGAACCGCGCGGCCCGTGCCGGGCCGGAGCACCCGCGCCATCTCGCGGAACGCGCCGGCGTAGAGGGCCTCGAGGCCTTCGTCGCCGGCCGCGAACTGGCGGTCGAAGGGCGGGCACGAGAGCACGGCGTCGACGGACCCGTCCGCGAGCGGCAGGTCCAGCGCCGACGCCCGCTCGAAGCGCGCGTCGACGCCCGTGGCCGCGGCGTTCCGTCGCGCCGCCGCCAGCTGGGCCTCGTCGAGGTCGACGCCGACGTAGGACGCGTCGGGCCGGAAGACGCCCGCTTCGACGAGGAAGGAGCCCCGGCCGCAGAACGGGTCGACGACGACGTCGCCGGCTTGGATGTCCGCGCTCCGCGCCACGACGAAGGACTCGACGCGCTTCATGCCCGGATCCGGCAGGCTCCGGTCCGCGTACTGCCGCAGCGCGACGAGCTCGACGAGGACGCCGGCCGCGTGCACCGTGACCTGGACCTCGACGGCCGCCGCGGCGCGGTCGTGCTCCGGGAAGAGGCGCGCGGGCAGCCGCCGCGCGAGCGCGCGGCGGAGCGGCGGGGACGCGCCCGCGGGGCACCAGGTCGCCGACCGGAACCGCTGGCAGCGCACGTGCGCGCTCAACGTCATGCCGTCCGCGTTGCCGAAGGCGGCCCAGGCGCCGAGCGCCGCGTCCCAGTCGACGGCGTCGTCGATGGCGTCGACGATGGCGTCCGCGGCGCCGCCGGCGTCCGCGTCCGGGCCGACGTCGACGACGGCGGCCTCGGCCGCGACGACGCGCACGCTCAGCGGCCCGCGCAGCAGCCGCCGCCAGTCGCGGCGGCTAGGCGCGTCCGCGGCGGCGTCGAAGACGAGCCGCGACGGGCCGACTTCCCGCTCGTCGATGGGCCTGACGCCGCGCTGCAGCGCGCGCACGGCGTCCTTGTGCAGCCGCTTCGACGACGGCAGCACGACGCTGTAGCGCAGGGCGTCGATGCTGGTGAGCAAGAGCAGGAGTCGCATCGTGCGATTTATGCAGTGATGCGGGCTCAGGAGGCGCACGCGGAGGCTGCAAAGAGGCTCTTCATAGTGCTCTCCATTGCGGAGAGTGGTGCACCATCGCTTCATCGTCGACCGCTCGAGCTCGTGGGGCGCGATGACGCTTGCACTCTTAGCGTTGACGGCGGTCGGCGTGGCCGACGCCCTGTCGACGATCTCCCCCGTGGCGAAGCCCCTGACCATCGGCGCGCAGAACCTCGACTGGGCGAACATCGGCTTCGAGTTCCGCGAGACGCGGTCCTTCGTGCGCTTCCAGTACCGCGACGGGTCCTGGGACGACGGCGCGGAGTACCCCGGCGGCCTGGAGGCGACCGTGCCCGTGTCCATCGGCGCGACGGCGTTACATTATGGCCAGTCGCTCTTCGAGGGGCTCAAGGCCTTTGCGTGCGCGGACGGGAGCGTGCGCCTCTTCCGGCCCGACGCGAACGCCGCGCGCATGGCCAACGGCGCGGACCGCACGCTCATGGCGGCGCCGCCGGCGGACCTCTTCATCGAGGCCTGCAGCCGCGCCGTGCGCGCGAACCTCGACTACGTGCCGCCCTACGGGTCCGGCGGCGCGCTCTACGTCCGGCCGCTGCTCTACGGCGCGGGGCCGCGCATCGGCCTCCAGCCGAGCGACGCCTACGACCTGCTCGTGCTCGTGACGCCCGTCGGCGACTACTACAAGGGCGGCCTGGGCAAGCCCGTGGCGGCCAAGGTCGTCGAGGGCTTCGACCGCGCGGCGCCGCTCGGCGTCGGGTCGGTCAAGCTCGCGGGCAACTACGCGCCGGACCTCAAGCCCAACATGGAGGCCAAGGAGCAGGGCTACCCCATCGGCCTCTACCTCGACGCCAAGGAGCGGGCCTACGTCGAGGAGTTCTCCACGTCCAACTTCGTCGGCATCCGGAAAGATTCCGGCGCGTACGTCACGCCCGAGTCCGCCGCGATCCTCCCGTCCATCACCAACGACTCGCTCATGAAGCTCGCGGAGAAACAGCTCGGGCTCACCGTCGAGCGCCGGCCCATCGCCTTCCAGGAGATCGCCGACGGCGAGTTCGCCGAGGCCGCGGCGTGCGGCACGGCCGTCGTGCTCACGCCCGTGGGCACCTTCGCCAAGGGCGGCGAGGAGTTCGTCCTCGACGCCCACGTCGAGCCGGGGCCGACGTGCCTCGACCTCTACACGCGCCTCACGGACATCCAGAAGGGCGACGCGCCCGACGAGTTCGGCTGGACCCACGTCGTCGTCCCGGGGCCATAGTCCGGGGGGGGGCCGAGTAAAAAGTCGCGCGGTGTGGATACGATTCTGTGTGCCGCGCCGGCGGCTTGGGCGGGCGTTTCCGGTGCGAGTGGCGCCATAGACGCTATCGGATGCGGGCGCGAGCGCCGTTCGTTCGCCGCCGCGGTTGCTCTGCGACCGCCGCGTGTCATTTGACTTCGCTGCATTCTCCCTCGTCAACCACGACGACCGTGGGCGGCTTCACGATGGGGAGCGACATGACGAGTCACTGGATTGCGTCGTCGCGCGCGCGGCAACGCCTGCATGTTGCAGCACAGGTGCTGACGAGAATCGAGAAATCGTCGATCGCCACTTGAGGTCGTCACCCAGCGCCGTGTGCACTTGCGCCGCCGCAGCACCGCCAAGCACGGAAGCAGCACCGCCAGACACGCAGCAACAATGCGCGTCCTCGCCTTCGTCGCCGCCTGCGTCGCGTCGACGGACGCCCTCGGCGCCGGGTCCGCCGGCGGCCTCGACTGGCGCTACTTCGCCGCGGGCGGCGTGTCCGCCGCCGTGTCCCACGGCTACACGACGCCGCTCGACGTGATCAAGACGCGCATGCAGACGAACCCGGAGCTCTACAACGGGTCCGTGCCGCTGGCGCTGTCGGAGATCCTCCAGAACGAGGGCGCCGCGTTCCTGCTCCAGGGCCTCGGACCCACGTGCGTCGGCTACGGCCTCGAGGGCGCGCTCAAGTTCGGCTGCTACGAGCTCGCGAAGCCCATCTTCAAGTCCGTGACGCCGTCGGACTTCGCGAACGCCATCCTCGCGTCCTGCGTCGCCGGCGGCGTCGCCGCGCTCGTGCTCTGCCCGCCCGAGGACGTGCGCATCCGCATGGTCAGCGACCCGGCCTACGCGCGGAACTCCGTCGAGGGCTTCAAGCGCCGCGTCGCCGAGGACGGGCCGCTGGCGTCCTTCGCCGCCGTCCCGGCGATGATGGCGAAGCAGGTGCCCTACACCATGGGCAAGCAGGTGTCCTTCGACTACGCGTGCGAACTCGTCCACGCGCTCCTCGTCGCGGTCTGTTCCGCGGAGCTCCTCGAGACCGTCGACGGCTTCACGCCCGTCATCGCCGCGCTGCCCGCCGCCGTCCTCGCCTGCGTCCTCAGCCACCCGGGCGACGCGGTGCTCACGCAGTTCTTCAAGCGCGGGCCGCAGCCCGGCGGCGTTGCCGGCTCCGTCGGTTTGCTGATGAAGGAGGGCGGCGGGCCCCTCGCGCTCTTCACGGGGCTCAAGGCCCGCCTCCTCCACGTCATCGGCATCATCTGGGTCCAGCTCATCATCTACGACAAGGTCAAGGTCGCCCTCGGCCTCCCTGCGACGGGCCACTAGGTTCCGATTAAGCAAAGCATCCGTTCGCCGACATTATCGTTCGACGGTCGCGCCCGCGAGGCCGAGGGGGAAAAAAGCATCCGCTCGCTTTTATCGTTCGACGGTCGCGCCCGCGGCCTCGGCCTCGCGGGAGAGGTCGTCCCGGAGGCCCGCGTCGTCGAGGCGTAGCGAGAGCCGGGCCGCGCCGTCGTCGGCGAAGTCCTCGGCCGCGACGCGGACGCCGCGGTGCTCCCAGGCCGCGAGCAGACCCCGCACGGCTCCGTAGGCCGCGGGGCCCGCGGCCAGTTCCAACGCCACCGTCGGCGCCGCCGCCGGCGCGGCCGCGGCCGTCTTCAGGCAGTCGCGCGCGGCCTGGCCGTACGCGCGGATGAGGCCGCCCGCGCCGAGCTTCGGCGCCGTCGACGCCTTGTAGCGCGTCACGAGGACCGCGCAGTCCACGAAGTCCGCGCCCTCGATGGCCGCGCGGATCGGCTGCGCCGCGGTGCCCGTCGGCTCGCCGTCGTCCGACTGGCGCGCGCTCGCGGCCCCGAACCACGCCCAGCAGTTGTGCCGCGCCTTGTCGTCCGCGTGCCGCCCGATGAAGGCCTCGGCCTCCTCGAAGGTCGTCGCCGGCGCCGCGCGCGCGACGAAGCGGCTCTTCTTGACCTCGTACTCGACGGCCGCCGTCTCGCCGGCGATCGTCGTCGCTTGTCTTAGTGTGCGTGTTTGTATAGGTGGTGCGCTCCGCGTTCTGAAGGCCGTCGCGGAGGCGGTCCACAGCAGCGCGCGGCGCATGGTGCTGTGAGTAGCGATTGTCCTTCAGGCGCTCTCTTTTGATGTTTTTTCGGGTGTTGCGCGCGTCGAGCGGCTGCTGCGATTCTTCTCGACTCGAGCAGCGGTACGACGACTGCGAGGCGTTCCTGACTCGTTGCTGGCGCGCGTCGACGACGCGCACGGCGGCGCACGCGGTACGACTGCACCCTCACTGCTCGTTGCGGCAAACCAAATCATGATATCAGCTCGCTAGTCGAGAGCACACGAGCTCCTCTGCGCCACTCGCGTCGCGCTGCCACACGCTCCTCGACATCACCCAAGGTGCGTCGCCCACTCGCGTTGCACTGCCGCACGAGCTCCTCGACGCCACCCAAGGTGCGTCACACATGCGCCCACACACGCCCGCGTCGCCCGCCGCGACCTCTAGAGGTCGCCACAACCTCTAGAGATTGCGGACAGCGACGCCCGCGCCCGACGAGAGTAGCTGAGGATGTGCAGTTTCTACATGAGATTTCGGAAACACAATGTCGAGACTCCGCGCGAGTAGCGCATGCGCCTGAAGCCACCCGCTCCGCCGCGCGCCCCGCCCCCTTTCCGCCCTCTTCGCCGTTCACCGCGGCCGCGCGTAGGACATGCTGCGACGACTCGTGCTCGCGTGCGCCGCGGCGCTCGCGGCCGCGGCCACGGGCAAGATCGAGACTTGTTCTGCGTGAAAGTTAAATAAGCTCCCTGAAGTGAAGCGATTCGTCAAGGAGAGCGGGCACGCCGACACCTACGAGGGGCTGGAGATCGACTACGTGCGCGGCAAGCCGCCGACGCTGATCATGATGGACGGCGACGCCGAGGTCGAGCGCGTCGACCTCGCGCCGTACTCGACGGACGAGCTCCACGCGCTCATGCAGGAGAAGGGCTTCGCGCGCAAGGAGGCCGAGCCGGCGGGGACGCGCGAGCAAGTGCTGCACCGCGCGCCCCGCAGCGCCCAGGCCGACGCCGTCGCCGACGCGGAGACGACGCTCTAGGCGGGAGTCGCACGGGCGCGCGAATGACGGAGCCGCGGGGGATCGCATCGCGTCCCCCGCGGTTCCCGACGAAGCCGCGCTAACGACTCTGCTTATCCTTCGCGAGGAGCGCGAGGCGCGCCTGCTCGAGGAAGGAGCCGTCGTTCATAAACGTCGGCTCCTTCGGCTCCTCCGGCTCCTCCGGCGCGGAGGCCGCCGGCGCCGTCGGCTCCGCGGCCGGCGCCGCGACCGGCGCCGCGGCGGCCGCGGAGGCGGCCTGCTCCGCGAGCTTGCGCCGCTTGCGCTCCTTCTTCTTCTGCGCCTTCGCGTAGTTCTCCGCCTTGCGCTTCGCGTCCGCCGCCGACTCGCCCGACGCCGGCTTCGGCCCGGCCTTGGGCTTCGCCGCCGCGCCGCCGCCGTCGTCCTCGCGCGCGCGCCGGAGCAGGTCCGCGGACGACCGCTTCGCCGCGCCCGCCTTCTCGAAGACGCAGTCGCGCTCCTCCTCGGCCTTGACCCAGCCGCCGCGGCCGACGGTGCGCAGATCCTCGGCCTCCTTCTCGCGCCGGATCTCCTCCATGCGGATGCGCAGCTTCGTCGCCTCCTTCTCCGCGGCCTGCTCCGCGAGCCAGACCTTCTCCTGGTTCTGGAAGCTCGACGGGTGCCAGGGCTTCTTGTTGAGGAAGTTGTTGATGCGCTCGCCCATGATATATCGATCGACGCGGCGCGGATGCGCGACGCAGCGCGCGGGCGCGGAGCTCTGCGCCGCCGCGACGGCGGCCTTGGGCAGCGCGCAGGCGCGTCGCGCGCTCGACGCTCGACGCCGCTGAGTCCCTAAAGTGCAAGGAGTGTTCAACATAGATTCAACGTGCCAAAAAATGCAGTATAATTAGGGCTCGTAGGCCGCGAGGTCGTCGAAGGACAGGTCCGCCGGCGACAGGCACCGCGAGAGGCGGAAGCCCGCGTCGGCGAGCCGGCGCCGCGCGCGCGCGAGGTCCGCCGCGTCCGCCGGGAGGTTGAGGAGCTCGAGGCGCGGCGGCCGCGGCTCGTCCGTTTCGCCCGGCGCCTCGAGGCGGGCGACGACGGCCCGGAGCGACACGCTGTGGCAGTGGCAGGCCGGCGGCCGCGCGCGGCCCACGGCGACGTGGACGTGCGCCGTCATGCTCCAGCTCCGCTCGGGCGCGGACCTGTGCCGAAACCAAATCTTCAACCCGACTTCAATGTGAGCGTATTCGAAAGTTTTGACACAAGCTCTTCAGTTGGGCTTCGAGAACTCGACGAGAGCGATCGATCCGTCCAAAAATCAGCCGAATCGACTTCGATTTGACCGAGCTAGAGAATCCTCAAGTTTGGTCAGGACCACCCAAACCAGTGGTTGGTTTCGGCACAGGCGCGGACCACATCGCGCGCTGGCGGTGGAAGTAGACGTCGTCGGGCCCCAGCGTCCGCGCCGCGGCGTGGCCGTAGACGGCGCGGACGTGGTCCGCGACGGCCGCCTCGAGCGCGCGGAGCCCGGGCGCGTGCGCGGCGCGGAGGTCGCTGTCGTCGTAGAGGTACGGCGCGGCGTCGCCGGCCGCGGCGAGGAGCGCGCCGACCGTGATCGCCGGCGCCTTGCTCGAGGACGCGTCGCGCGGCGGCGACGGCGGCGTCGGCGGCGACGCGCGCGACGGCGCGACGACCGTCGGCCGCGGCGACCGCGCGCCCGCGCGCGGCGGCGGCGGCGGCGCGCGCGGCGGCGGCGGCGCGGCGGCGGCGGCGGCGGCCGGCGCGCCGCGGCGCGCGAGGCGGCTCGCCAGGCGCAGGTCCGCGTGGCAGTGGAAGAAGCGGCTCCGCTTCCGGAGCTCCGGGTGGATCCACCACGCGACCAAGCCGAAGCCCCTCCGCGACCGCTCCGCGGCGCGCGCGAAGTCGCGGGGTGCGAGGCCCGCCGCGAGCGCCGCGACGTCGACGTAGCCCGGGTTCGGCATGACCAGGAAGTCGCTGCAGAAGAGGAAGCACTCGGGCCGCGCGAGGAAGAGCTTCGTGAACGCGCAGTCGGCCAGATCGAGGAGCGCCGCGAGGAACTCGGGCACGGCGACGGCGGCGCCGCCCCGGCGCAGCGCCGCCTCGCGGCCGGGCGTCGCCGACGGCGGCAGCCGCCGCCGCCGCCCGGGCGGCGAGCCCCGCTCGGGCGACGGCGTCCCGCTCGGCCGCCGCAGCGGCGCGCGCAGCAGCACGTGCGGCGCGTCGAGCTCGCCGCGGATCTTCGCGTAGATCGCGCCGCGCGTGGGGCGCGACTTTAATGCGAGGCGCGCGCGGGCGACGGCGCGCACGACGTCGGCGTAGGGATTGCTGGTCGGCAGCGGCGCCGCGCCCGCGCGGTCCGCCGCGAGCAAAGCTTGCACGTCGTCGACGATCGAGGCATCGATAGTGTTTTCTGTCATAACCGCGTCGCCGCGTGAGCTGTGCTACGCGCGCTTTGGCAGCGTTCTCAGCGCCATGCTGGCCGGGTTTGATGACAATTTGATGACACGCATGGTTGCCAGTGCCTCTCAAGTTGACGTGACGTTGCCGTCGTGAAAGGGGAGTGGGCCTGATGACAATTTGATGACACCGCATTGGTTGCCTCTAAAGTTGACGCGATGTTGCCGTCGTGAACGGGGAGTGCGATTACAAGGTACGCGGATCGCCGGACGCGCGGAAGCCGAGGGCCGCCTTGGCGCCGCGCCAGGCCCGGAGCGCGGCGCGCTCCGGGGCCGCCTTGGCGCCGCGCCAGGCGCGGAGCGCGGCGCGCTTCGGGATGAGCGACGCGCCGACGGTCTGGGCCGCGGCGACGGCGGCCTTCGGCAGCGCGCCCGCCGCGGCGTAGGAGCTCTGCGCCGCGGCGACGGCGGCCTTGGGCAGCGCGGCGGCGGCGGCGCCCGACGCCGCGACGCTGCTCCAGGCCGCGGCCGCCGGCGCCGCGAGGCCGGCCCACGCCGCGGCCGCGAGGCCCGCGGGGTCCGCGAGCGCCGCGAGCGCCGCCTTGGCGAGGGCCGGCGCGGCGGCCACGGCGCGGAAGAGGGCGTCGGGCAGCGCGAAGAGCTGGAAGAGGACCGTGAGCGCGCACATGGTCGCGAAGACCATCGTCGGCGCCGCGTTCTTCGAGTTGAGGATCCACGGCAGCCCGTCGCCGACGCGGAACGTCGTCCGGAGCGGCGCGAGGAGCTCGCCGAGGGCCGCCTCGTCGACGAGGGCCGGCAGGGACGCCGTGGGCTGGCGCCGCGGCGCCGCGCGCGGCCGCGGCGCCGCGGAGGACCGGCCGCGGCGGAAGAGGCGGCTCCGCGAGAACTTCTGCGGGCCCGACTCGACGGTGGCGACGAGGGCGCCCGGCGTCGCCGCCGAGGGCACGAGGGACGTGATGGAGAAGGACGCCGTCGGGTCCACGGTCACGCTCGACAGGAAGAGCGCCGCGCCGCCCTCCACGAGCGGCGTCGTCGTGTGCGCGAGCGCGAGCGCGTAGGTCGGCTGGGACGCCCAGAGCCACTGGGGCGGCGCCTCGAAGGACGGCCGGTCCGGGAGGGACACGACGGGGTCCCGGAAGAGGATCGCGCCCCGGTCCGCCTCCAAGACGAACGACACGGCGAACCGGAAGTTCGACTCGCGGTAGCCGCCGTCGCCCGACGCGTAGCGCTCCAGGGGCGTCGGCGCGCGGCGCACGCGCGCCGTGCCGTCGACGCGCGCGCGGCCGCCGGCGTCGATGGTCGTCGTGAAGTCGAGCGCGTCGTCGGCGACGCAGACCTCCTTGCCCATCCACTTCACGAGGACCTTGCGCACGATGCCGTCGAGGCGCCGCCGGATCCAGAGGGACCCGTCGAGGTCCGCCCCCGTCATCGTGAGCTCGGCGACGAGGGACCCGCGCCGCCCGCCCGTGAGCACGCGCCGGTGCAGGTTGACGAGCTCGGCTTCGAGACGGCTCGCGACCAACTTCGGGCCGCCGGGCCGCGCGCCGATCCAGACGACGCCGGAGCTCGTGAGGCGCACGACGTCCGGGCAGCGCCGGCTCAGGCCCTCGCTCACGTCGCACTCCTCGGGCTCGACGGCGTCCACGCGCTCGACGTGCTCCAGAGCCAGCCGGCCCCGCTTCTTCTGGTCGCGGATCCACCCGCGCGCGCACTGCTCCGTGATCCAGCTCCGCGCGGACCGCCGGGGAGCGTCATCGGTGTCGGCGAAGAAACGGAGCCACGCCCGGCGCTTGGGGGGCGCGGGGTCGACGGGGACGGCCGTTGATGCGGCGACGAGGATCGGGGCGACGGTTTGGGGTGGTTTCTTGTCCGGTTTGCGCGCGGTCACGCGGTGCGTCGGGGTGCGGAACGCGGCGGCGAGCGTCGACAAAGCGATGAGGGCGCGCATGGCGCGGGGCGGGCGCATCGCGCGTCGCGACGCGACTTGCGGCGCGGTTGATGCTTTTGCAGAAGGCCTGCCGGCTCAACAAGTTCTTCTGGCAAGGCCTCTGGCACTTCATCAACATACTTGAACTGGCGCCGTGGGCTGACCCCTGCCCGAGGTGCAGGCCGAGCGGGCAGCTTTGGAGACGCGCGCCGCGGGGCAGGCGGTCGCCGAACGTGCGGCGGCCGAGGTCAAGTTCGTGGCCGAGGCCGCCGCGGCGGCCTTCGCGTGGCGGACGCGGTGAGAGGCGAGGTAGGAGCTCGGAACTAGCGGCGCCGCCGTCGCCGCAGCTTCACCGTCGCCGCCACCTCCAGGACTCGCCTGTGAGCTAGATTAGAGCTGAGGCGGCTTGACGACGGCTCGTTGGCGTCAATGTTGCAGCTCGCCGAAAGCGCAGCCACAAGTAGCCACACGTGGACAAGCGCGGCTGCTGAGTGCTTCACGATGGTCCACGTGCACGTGCGCTTCATCCTGGCCGCCGCGCTCGCTGCAACCGCAGTAGCAGACGGCCAGACCGTCGCCTGCGTGACGGGCGCGACGGGCTTCCTCGGCCAGGAGCTCGTCGCCCAGCTCCTCGAGAAGGGCTACGCCGTGCGCGGCACCGTGCGCTCCGCCACCGGCAAGAACGCGAAGCGTCTGACGGACATGGCAGGACAAGCGCGGCTGCTGAGTGCTTCACGATGGTCCACGTGCACGTGCGCTTCATCCTGGCCGCCGCGCTCGCTGCAACCGCAGTAGCAGACGGCCAGACCGTCGCCTGCGTGACGGGCGCGACGGGCTTCCTCGGCCAGGAGCTCGTCGCCCAGCTCCTCGAGAAGGGCTACGCCGTGCGCGGCACCGTGCGCTCCGCCACCGGCAAGAACGCGAAGCGTGCTTCACGATGGTCCACGTGCACGTGCGCTTCATCCTGGCCGCCGCGCTCGCTGCAACCGCAGTAGCAGACGGCCAGACCGTCGCCTGCGTGACGGGCGCGACGGGCTTCCTCGGCCAGGAGCTCGTCGCCCAGCTCCTCGAGAAGGGCTACGCCGTGCGCGGCACCGTGCGCTCCGCCACCGGCAAGAACGCGAAGCGTCTGACGGACATGGCAGCAGACCTCTTCAAAGGCAAATTCTTGACGCTCGTCGAGGCGGACCTCCTCGGCGGCGAGGCGGGCTTCGCGCCCTGCGTCGCCGGCGCCGACGTGCTCTTCCATACGGCGTCGCCGTTCAAGAGCACGGGCATCGACGACCCGCAACGGCAGCTCATCGCCCCCGCCGTCGAGGGCACGGAGGCGGCGACGAAGGCCGCCATCGCCTCCGGCTCCGTGAGTAAGATCGTGCTGACGTCGAGCATCGCCGCGACCATGGGCGGCTTCGGCGACAAGGACGGCTGCTTCGACGAGACCGACTGGAACTGGTCGTCCGAGGCGAAGATCCACGACGTGGCCATGGACGCCTACCGCTACTCGAAGCTCGCGGCGGAGCAGGCCTTCTGGCGCCTCGTCGCCGGCGCCGACGGCGTCGAGGGCGCCGCGGTGCTGCCCGCGTTCATCGTCGGCCCGCCTCGCACGGACCGCACGGACGGCGAGAGCCTGGGCAACATGGTCGCCGCGCTCTCCGGCGCCACCCCGCCGCGCGGCGACACGCCCATGGTCGACGTCCGCGACGTCGCGGCCGCGCACGTCGCCGCCTACGAGACGCCCGGCGCCGCCGGCACGAGCCCGCCGGAGAAGTACCGCTACCTCGCGTCGACGCCGACGGCCTACCGCCGCGACGACCTGCTCTCGCTCCTCGCGGACGCGTACCCGAACGCGGCCATCGCGCCGCGCGCCGCGCCGCCGCCGTCGACGGCCGAGCGCGCGCGGGACAAGGTCGTCTTCTGCTCGAAGAACCTCGGCACCCTCGCGGGCGTCTCCGTGCGCGCCGCGCCCGACGCGCTCCTCGACATGGCGCACGTCATGCTCGAGCTCGGGTCCGTGGCGGTGACGCCGCGCGCGAAGGCGCCGCCGGGCACGCGCTTCGTCAAGAAGCAGGCCCGCCGCCTCCGCAACCTCTTTAAGAAGGAGCTTTAAGGCACTGCGGCGTGGCCGCCACGCGTTCCGCGCCGCTTTAAGAAGGCCCTGCCAATGTTCTTCCGTTAAAGCGGCGGCGCGCGCCTCTAGGCGTGGGACATGCCGAGGATCTTGGCGAGCTTGTCGGCCTGCTTCTTCTTCTTGACGTCGGCGTCCTTGGGCTTGCGGCCGTTCTCCTTCTTCGCCTCCTTGGCCTTGGCCTTGGCCTTCTTCGCGCTCTTGGCCGCGGCGGCGTCGCGCGCGCGGATTTCCATCGCGTCGTCGTCGTCGCTGTCCGCGTCCGCGTCGACGAGCGCCGCCGCCGGCTCGTCGTCGTCGCTCGTCGCCGGCGCCTCGCCGCCCTTGGACTCCTCCGTGCCGTCGAGGCCCGCCGAGAGCTCCGGCGCGTCGCGGTCGAGCTCGTCGGCGGCCGCCGCGCGCCGCTCCGCGGGCGTCCGGTCCTTTTCCTTGAACTGGGCCGCCTTGGCGTCGGTCCACTTGCCGAGCATCTCGTGCTGGGACGTGCCGTCGCGCGCCCGCACGAGGCTCTGCAGGATCTTCGACGTCTTCGACACCTTCTTCGCGGCCGCGGAGCCGCCGGCGCCCGCGGACGCCGCGGGGCGCTTGAGCAGGTCCAGCAGCAGCTTCTCGATGGCGTTGCGCTGGGGCGGCGGCGCGCCCCTGCCCAGGCCGGCCTTGGCGGCCCTGGCGGCGTCGATGGCGTCGAAGATGCGCGCCGGGCCGAGCTTCTCCAGCGCCTGCGCGCGCCGGTAGTGCGCCTTCACGTTCCTCGGGTCCGCCTCCAGCGCCGCGGCGCACTCGTCCGCGCAGGCCTCGAAGCACTCGCGGGCGCGGCTATCGAACGTCGCGTGCGCGAGGCTCGCCTCGCCGAGCTTGAAGAGGCACGTGGACCGGTTGCAGAGGAGCACCGCGACCGCGGGGCGGTTCACCGCGCCCGAGACGTCCGTCACGTCCGCGGCGACGTCGACCTTGAGCTCGAGGAGGGCCGCGGCGTAGTGGCGCAGGGCGCCGTCGAAGTCGCCGGCGGCGAAGGCCTCGTTGCCCGCCGCGCGGCGGCTCTTGGGCTTCGGCGGCGGCTTCGGCGGCGCGGCCGGCGGCGGCGGCGGCGCGCGCGCCGCGGCCGGCGGCGGCGGCGGCGCGTCGAGGTCGAAGCCGCCGGCGCTCAGCTCGACGACGACGGGCTCGTCGCCGCAGACCTCGTCGTCGTCGTCGTCGCCGACGTCCCGCAGCGCGACGCCGCCGCACGCCTCGCCGTCCGCGCCGCTGTGCGGCGGGAACCGCGAGAAGTCGTCGAAGAGCTGCTTCGCCAGGGCCTCCTCCTCGGGGTCGCCCCGGGACTGGGCGCAGGGCACCCAGTCGCTCAGCGTCGCCAGCAGGTCCCGGCTCAGGCCCATGCGCATGCCCTCGCAGTGCGTCTGCCGCGCCCACCCGATCCAGAACGCCAGCAAATCCAAGCAGCTCCGCTCGCCGCCGGGGAAGGAGTCGCGCCGGTTCGCCGCCAGGCCCTCGAAGAAGGGCGACGCGCCGCCGTCCATGGCCAGCAGCGCCGCGTGGAGCGCCGCGTCCTCGGAGCCGCGCCGCGGCGCGTCGTACCATCGGAGATCGGGGTCGCCCGTGATGCGCAGGAAGACCTCGACGGCGTGGGCGCGCACGTGCAGGTCGCCCTCCGTGAGCCGCGCCGCGAGGTGGTCCAGGCCGCCGGCGACGACGAAGCGCCGGAGGAAGCCCGACTCGCGGTGGAGCATGAACATGAGGCCGAGCGCGGGTCGCGCGGGCGACTTCTGGGCCGCGCCGGGCTTCTTCGGCGCGACGAGGCGCGCGTAGGCGCCGCCGTCGGACGCGCTCGGGAAGAAGAGCAGGCGCCGCGCCTCGTCGGCGCACTCGCAGCTCGGCACGCGCGCGGCCATGGCGGCCACGGGCGGGTCGGCCCAGAGGTCCGTCAGCGACTTGCGCAGCCCGTCGCTGTCCGGGCAGTGCGCCATCAGCGCGTCGAACTCCGCCTGCCGCGCGACCATCGTGCCCGACACACCCGCGCTGCCGAGGAACCCGCGCTGCGACGCGACGCAAACCGATGGGCAGCCAAAGCGCTGCGCCGCCTCGAGAGGGCAGCTTTAGCCCGGCTGCGTCACCGGGCCGTTAGCCAAATGCCGCGTCCGCGAGCACCTCAACGGCGCTCTCCCAGCTCCAGGCGCGCATGCGCTTCGCGCCCCGGAGGGCCCGGCGGCGCGCGGCGGCGCGGTCGCGGTAGATGTCCGCGAGCGCGGCCGCGGCGTCGCCCGGGTCCGTCTCGTAGCCGGCGAACTGGTCCGGCGCCGCGCGCGCCGCGGGCGACTCGACCTGGTTCCCCAGGGGCCAGCAGCCGTCGTCGCCGCCGAGGAAGTCGACGAGGTCCGCCTGGCCCGTGTTGCGGGCCAGCGCCGTGGGCACGCCCATGGCGACGGCCTCCATGGCGACGAGGTTCGTTCCGCCCTCGGCGCGGTTCGGGAAGAGGGCCGCGTCGACCGCGCGGAGGATCTGGGGCACGTAGCGGTGGTGCACGGGGATGAGGGGGACGACGTCGCGGCGGTCGAGGCCGTTGGCCTCGAGCCAGTCGAGGAGCGCGGCGTTCTCGTCGACGTAGTCCGCGTCCGTCCGCGGGAGCGGCGCCGTCGCGTTCGCCTCCAGGACCTGCTGGCGCGTCGCCGCGGGCACGCCGGCCGTGTGCGTCGCGTTGGCCATCGTGAGCACCGTCTTCCGCCAGGGGTTCGCCCAGGCGACGACGAGCTCCGCGTCCGCGTCCGGGTGGCGCCGGCGGAACTCGCGGAAGGCCGCCACGACGATGTCCTGGCCCTTGCGCCACTCGAGCTTGCCGCCGGAGAAGACGCGGAACCGCGCGCCGGGATTGCGGCGCACGCCCGTCGGCGGCTTGAAGAGCGACGCGTCGACGCCCTGCATGAAGGCCTTCACGGGCGGCAGCGGCGCGCCGTCGAGCGCGGCCGCCGCCGCTTTGAGGCCCGCGCCGCACCACGTCGACCCGACGAGGAGCGCGTCGAAGCGCCGCAGCGCCGCGAGGTCGCTCTGCGACCAGTCGAGCGTCTCCGCGAATAAGATGCCGACGTTGCGCGTCGCGCTCCAGAGCGCCTCGTCCATGGAGCCCAGGGAGCCGTTGACGCCCCAGCGGCCCAGGGCGTGGACAACCGGAAAATCGAGGGCCGACGCGTTTCGCCCGCGCGACGCCAGCCGCTCCGCGGCCGCCGCGAGCACGGACGGCTCGAGCGTCCGCCGCTGCGCGGGCGTGACCTCGTAGCCGTGGACCTGGCCCAGGGGCACGGGCAGCGCCGTGCTCCTGGGCCCGCCGAGGGCGAGGGCGATGTGGAGGCCCGCGACGCCCCAGCCGATGCCGCCGCCCCAGTCCCACGCGAGCCCGAGCAGCCGACTCCGGTCCGCGGCCGGCGCCGCCGCGCCCGCGACGAAGACGGCGACGGCGAACTCGGAGATGGCCGGCGCGTCCGCGTCGCCCGCCGGGCCGCCGCGGAGCACGACGTCGACGCGGTACCAGCCGGGCGGCCGCAGGTCGAGCGCGACGCGCGCGACGAGCGGTTTCGCGTCGTCGTGAAAACTCGGCAGCGACACGTCGGAGCACTCGGCGCTCGGCCAGCGGTCGTCGCCGGGCAGCGGGTCGCCGTCGACGACGCGCGCCGCGGAGATGCACGCCGACGTCGCGCCGGCCGTCGCGCTGCCCCGCCGCAGGCCGATCTCGACGTCGACGACCGGTCCCTCGACGACGCTCCCGGACTTGGGCTCCGTGATCCACGCCTCGCCGAGCTCATCGATGGCGGCGCCGCCGCGCAGCGCGGTGATGCAAAGTGCGATCGTGACGGCGCGCAAAAGGCTGCCCATCGCGCAGCGCGGGTAGGTTGCCAGTGCCTTCATGCTGAAACGAAGCAAATCCATTTTGCGATGGCAATGCGACCTCATTGCCGCGTGATGACACATCCGTGAGCAACACGAGATGAAACGCGCCGTCGTCGCAATCGCGTGCTGCTGCGGCGCGGCCGGCGGCGACGTCGCCGCGCTCGTCGCCGCCATGACGCGCGAGGAGAAGCACGGCCTGCTCAACGGCCACGGCTGGCAGGGCTGGGACCTGCTCCCGGGCTACTACGTCGGCAACACGCGCGCCGTGCCGCGGCTCGGCATCCCGGCGCTCAAGATGCAGGACGCGGGCCAGGGTTTCCGCACGACGGACGCGGCGATGATCGGCACGGTGACGTCGTGGCCGTGCGCGCTCGCGCTCGCGTCGAGTTGGGACGAAGGCCTCGTCGGCCGCTTCGCGGCCGCGGCCGCGCGCGAGTTCAAAGCCAAGGGCGCGAACGTCGTGCTCGGTCCCGGCGTCAACGTGCACCGCGTCGCCGCCGGCGGCCGCAACGCCGAGTACCTCAGCGGCGAGGACCCGCACCTCGGCGCGCGGCTCGTGGGACCGTACGTCCGCGGCTTCCAGGACCGCGGCGTCCTCGCCGTCGCCAAGCACTTCGCCTTCAACCAGCAGGAGACGAACCGCTACACCGTGAGCGCGGCCGTCGACGCAACGACGCGCTTCGAGGGCTACTACCCGCCCTTCGAGGCCGCCGCGGCCGCGGGAGTAGCGGGGGTCATGTGCGCGTACAATCGCGTCGACGGCGTGGCGGCCTGCTCGTCGCCGGACCTGCTCGAGCGCGACCTCCGCGGCGGGCTCGGCTTCCAAGGCTTCGTCGTCTCCGACTGGGCCGCGGCGCACGCGCCGCCCTACACCGGCTGCGACGTCGACATGCCCGGGAGCGGCGTCGAGGACGCGCCCAACGGGTCCTCCTGGTACGCGGACCTGGACGGCGTCGACGACGCCGTGATCGACGCCATGGTGTCCCGCGTCCTCGGGCCCGTGGACGCGCTCGGGCTCCTCGGCCGCGACGACTGCGCGCCGCCGGACTGCGACCTCTACGCGAACGCGACGACCGCGGATCACCGCGCGCTCGCGCGAGAGATCGCGACCGACGCCGTCGTGCTCCTGAAGAACGACGGCGCGCTGCCGCTCGATCGCGGCGCGACGGTCGCGGTCGTCGGCTCCGCGTGCGCCGCGCTCCAAAACACCACGGAGCTGCTCCGGCGCTGGGACCTCGGCGACTACTACGTCGTCGGCGGCAGCGGCCGCGTGCTCCCGGAATCCGTGACGACCGTGCTCGACGGCCTCCGCGCGCGCGGCGTCGACGTGATCGCGTCGCCGACGGACGACGTCGCCGCGGCGCTCGCGGCGTCGGCCGCCGCGGACGTCACCGTCGCGTGCGGCGGCGCGTCGGCGACGGAGGCCGCGGACCGCGCGAGCCTCGCCCTCGACCAGGAGGCGTTCCTCGTCGCAATCGCCGCGGCGACGCCCACGATCCTCGTCGCGCTCGCGCCGGGGGCCGTGTTGCTCCCCGACGACGACGCGGTGGCGAGCCTGCTCGTCTTCCTCGCGGGCGAATTCACCGGCGACGCGCTCGCGGACGTGCTTCTCGGCGCGGCGAGCCCGAGCGGCCATCTGCCTGTGACGTTGCCGCTTCACGAGGACGACGTCATCGCGCCCTGCGGCGACGGCGCCTGCCCCTACGACGAGGGCCTCCTCTTCGGCTACCGGGGATCGGAGGGCAAGGACGTGCGCTACCCGTTTGGGCATGGGCTTTCTTATACCGATTTCGACGTCGACATCGAGGAGGTACGCATCAACGCGACGGAGGTCGTCTTTCAAATATCTGTCGCCAACCGCGGGCGCGTCGCGGCGAAGGCCGTCGTGCAGCTGTACCTCGAATTCCCCGCCGCGGCGCACAAGGTCCTCAAGGGCTTCGCCAAGCCGGCGCTTTCCGCGGGCGAGTCGGCCCGCGTGACCTTGTCGCTCTCGCGGGAGCGCGACCTCCGCGCCTACGCCGCGGGGGGCTGGGCGCCCGTCCTCGGCGCCTACCGCGCGTACGTCGGCCTCTCGAGCCGCGACGTCCGCGCGACGACGGCCTTCGATCTGCCGTCGGACGCGCCGCCGGCCGCGGAGCGCCGCCACCACGGCATCGTCAGCGTCGCGGGGCCGACGGCGCTCCTCGCGCTGATCGGCCTCGCCGTGGGCTGGCGATATCGGCGACGGCGGTCCGAGGCCGACGACGAGGACGGGGACGGGGACGTCGACTCGCCGGCGATCCAGCTCGCGGCGTTCTCGCGCGTGCCCAACCACGCGCCGGGCGAGTCGACGCGCCATCCCGCGTTCGTGTAAGGAGTTACGACGGCCGGACCTTCGGGCGGAAGAGGGACGAGCGTCGCCGCGTCGCGAGGACCTCCGACGCCTGCTGGAGGTCCGTGGCCATGGAGCGCCAGATGCCGACGAGGATGACGAACCACCTCTTCCCGAGGGCCGACGAGTTCAGCAGGCCGAGGAAGACGCGCTCGAACTTGCGGTTCCCGAACGTGTCGAGCAGGCCGACCATCTCGGCGACGTAGACGTCCAGCGGGTCGTCGACGGGCGCCCTCGCGACCCACCAGGGGTCCCGACGGAAGGTGACGTACCGGATGTAGACGAGGGAAAGGGAACATCGAGCGAAGTAGAACAGGAAATCGGCGAAGAAGACGGATTCGAGCGAGCGGAAATGCGAGTAGGCGGCGGCGAGCGCGGCGAAATAGACGGCGAAGCCGACGGAGTACAACTTCCCGAGGACCCGGAAGTCCTGCGTCGCGAGGAGCACGTTGTCGACGATCGTGCTCAAGAGGCGGAGCGGCAAGATGGCGACGGCGACGCCCCAGAGGAAGGGCGTGCACGCGTCGCGGTACTCGGCGCGTTCGTCGTCCCGCGCGGCGTCGACGACGACCCCGCGGCCGTTCGCCAAGAAAAGCAGCGCCGCGACGACGGACCAAAACACGAGAAAGGCCGAGAAGTCCTTCGCGAACCAGCGGAAGGCCTTGGCTTCGCCCGCGCCGATCATGCGCGCGCCGAAGAAGTTGATCGCTCCGGAGCCGAGCGCGAGCCCGATGGCCGGCGCCTGCAAAGCCAACAGGAGGTAGTAGACCGACCCTTCCACGACGCCGAGCTTGATCGCGGCCAGGGGCGACAGCAGCGCCCGCAGCGTCGAGAACGCGGACCGCACGCCGACGGCGCCGATGTTTGAAAGGAATCGCCGCGCGTCGTCCAGGGACACGGCCTGGACGTAGCCCTTGTCGAGGCCGTAGCGCGCCGCCTGCGCCGCGTCGCCGCGGAGCAGCACGTCGCAGACGCGGAAGTAGATCGGATAGCTAAAGACGACGGCGACGCCAAAGGCCGGTAGCCCCAGGTTCGTGTTGTGGTACAACACGAGGGCCGCGACGATCCAGAACGCGTAGGCGGCGACGCCGGCGACGACGAGCACGTAGAGCTGGAGGAGCGCGACGGCGACGGAGGCCGCGCCCATGCTCAGGACCGTGAACGTGAAGCCCGTGCCCTGGATGAGCAGCATCGTCGGCGCGCCGGCGACGAGGGACTCGTCCTCGTCGCGCGGCTTGAAGAGCGACAGCAGCTCCGCGTGGAAGACGCTGAGCACGAGCGCGAGGACCGTGCCCACGGCCGCGGACAGCGTGATCGTCTGGCGCATGACTTTCCCCGTGGCGACGTCGTCGCCCTCGCCGCTCGTCTTGCTCAGCATGGGCAGGCTGCCCAGGAGGACGAAGGAGCAGATCGACATCGCGAACTCGTACGTCGAGTTCACCGCGAGGTAGCTCGCCAACAGCGACGCGCCCCGCTTCGCGAGCATGCGCTTCACGAGGACGTAGTCGAGCGCCCAGACCGTGAACAACATACCGAAGAAGCCGACGACAGACTTGATCCACACGCCCAGGCCCGTGTTGCTGCCCGGCTTCGCCGGCGGCGCGGCGGACGGCGCGCCGTCGGCCTCGGCGGCCTTGGGCTCCTCCATGTCGGCCGCCGCGCCGTCCTTGGCCTCCTCGGCTGCGCACATGGAACGGATGCAACACGCAGCTACATCGTCAGGCCGCCGAACAACGCGAGTACATGTAATGCCTCCATCGTCGGGCTGCAACCCCGGGTTCAAGCAGCGCTGGCGCGTTGGGCTAGCGTTGCCCTTCCTAGCCATCGTCTGGGGTGCGCCGCAGAGCATCGCAGCGCGAGCGCACCTGCACAAACCGGCGCACACACAACAGGTGCATGCGCGCGAGCGTGTGCTGCCTCGCTGCCATCGGAGCGGCCATGGCAGCGCAGGCCTCGACGCCGCACCGCATGCGAGCCTCCTGCTACTGCGGCGCCGTGCACGTCGTCGTCGCCGACGCCGACGCCGCGACGTCGTCGTCGATCTGCCACTGCTCCGTCTGCCGGAGGCTGTCCGGAGCGCCGTTCCTCGCGAACGTGCTCTTCAAACGCGGCAACGTCGCGCTCGAGACGGCCGACGGCGCCGCCGTCGACCCCGACGCGCTCACGGCGCAGGCGACGTCGAAGCACGTGACGCGCTACCGATGCAAAGCCTGCGCGTCGCCCGTGCTCGCGCACCTGGGCAAGGACGCGGCCGCCGCGCCGCTCGCGCTCTTTCCCGCGCCGCACCCGGCGTCCTGGGCGCCCGCGCACCACATGCACTACATGGACCGCGTCCTCGACGTGCACGACGGGAAGAAGAAGTTCAGCGGCCGCTTCGGCTACAGCGCCGAGGTCGACGACTGGGGCGAGCCGCTCCAGGGCCTCGCAGGCTAGTAAATTTTTGCGCGTCACGGTACGGCCTCCGGGTCCGCCACGGTGATCGGTGCGCTCGCGATCCCGCCCCGCCCGGCGCGCTTCCCGCCGCGGCTCGCGATGCTCGCGAGCTAAGCTGTACGCGTGGTTAGCGCCCCGGGCTCCGGTGAAGGGCGGGAGACCCGCTCCTGGAGCCGCGAGGGTCCGCGTGCGTCGTGGTTGGTGTGTTGTGTTGGGGGGACGTTCTGGACTGGTGGGTCTCGACGTGTCGGGGGCGCGTTCTGGACTGGTGGGTCTCGACGCGCCCGGGTTGTGTGTGTGTGGTCGTGCGCCTCCGGGCGCCGTTCTGGGCTGGGGAGCCTCGACGGCGGGCGTCCCGGCGGGGCGGTGTATGTGCGTGTCTTCGCGGCGCGGCGGCGCGCCTCCGCGACTCTTCGGGGCCTCGGGGCCCGGGGCGCGGCGCCTAGGCGCCGGCCTTGGCGCGGCGGCCGCGGCGGCGCGACTTCGACGACGCGCCCTGGGCCTGCGGCGCGTCGCTGTGGGCGGCCTGCTGCTTGGGCGCGGGCGCGGGCGCGGCGGCCGCGGCCGCGGGCACCTTGCCCTGCTTGCGTTTGATGAACTCGTTCGCGAACGCCGCGACCTGCGGCGTGGACCCGAGGTACATGGAGAGGTACTGGCGGATCTCGCTGTTGTCCGTGAGGGTCATGCAGAACTGGATGAGCGTGATGTCGTCGGAGCCGTTGATCTTCTTGAGCTGCGTCTTGCACCAGGTCTGGAGCGCGTCGGGGTTCGACGTCGCGACGGGCCCGCCGAAGGCCGACTTGGCCGCGGCCGGCGGCGCCGCGCGCGCCGCGGGCGCGGCCGCGGGCCGGTTCTGCTGCCGCAGCGGCGCCGACGACGGCGCGGGCGACGCCGCGGGCGCGGCCGCGGGCTTGGCCGCGGGCTGGAGGCCGTGCTGCTGCGCGAGGCGCGCGGCCATGGAGCTCGCGGCCGGCGGCTGCGGCGCGGCGGCCGCGCGCGTCGCGGCGGCGGCGCGCTGGGCCTGCTGGAGCCGCTGCTGCTCGGCGCGCGCCGCCTCCTCCTGCTGCTGGATCTCCTTGAGGCTGAGCGCCGCGTCGGGCCGCGCGGCGGCCGCCGCGGACCGCTTCGCGGCGCCGCGGCTCGCGGGCGCCTGCTGCCAGGGCGACTGGCGCGGCGCCGGCGGCGGCGCGGGCGCGGGCGCGGGCTTTGGCGCCGGCGCCGGCGCGCCGCCGCCGAGCATCATCTTGAGCGCGTCCGCGTCCGAGGGCGCGGGCGCCGGCTGCGCGGGCCGCGCGGCCTTGGGCTGGAGCGGCGCGCCGCCGAGGGCCTCGAGGCCGCCGAGGGGGATGGGCGCGCGCTGGCCGTAGCCGCCCAGGGCGTTCGCCTGGTCCTGCCAGTTCTCGAGGGACTCGTTCCGCGGCGGCTGGGGCGGCGCCGCGGGCTTGTCGCCGCCGCCCCACATCCACGAGAACGCGCCGCCGGCCTGGGCCGGCGGCGCCGCCGGCTGGGCCGCCGGCGGCGGCGCCGCGGGCTGGGCGAAGGCCGGCGGCGCCATGCCCGGGGGCTTGGGCGGCGCGGGCAGGAGCGGCTTCGTGACGAACGCGTCCTGCGGCGAGGAGAAGAGGCGGCCGAGCGGCACGAAGTCGCCGGACTCGCCCTGGCGCAGGGGCAGGTCGTCGTCGAAGTAGCCCGCGTTGAACCACTGGCGCATCTGGGGCGCCTCGAAGGGGCCCTGGTGCTGGCCCTGGGGGTCCTTGTAGAACCAGGGCTTGACGCGCCAGCTGCCGTCGTCGTCGTCCTTGCGCGCGGGCGCGGCCAGGCCCGGCGCCGGCGGCGGCGCGGAAGCTGCCGCCTCGAGGGACTCGAGAGCCTTGGCGGCGCGGGCGCGCTCCTCGCGCGCGGCCTTGTCGATGTCCGCGCCGTCCGCGTCGCCGCTGAACGCCGCGCCGAACATGTCCGGCGTGCCGAGGTCGCCGCCCGGGAGCTGGCCGCCGCCCTTCTCGCGCATGGCCCGCATCTCCGCCTCGAAGGCTTGGGCCGCCTCGGCCCAGGACGACAGGGCCGACGCGCCCGCGCCGTCCCCAAAGGTCTCGTCGTCGAGGTCCGGCTCGTCCCAGAGCTTGTCGCCTCCGAGGTTCCGCTGCGGCACGGACATGCCGCGCTCCCAGGTCCGGTCCCGGTCCTTGCCGCCGGGCGGCGGGTCCCGCGGCGCCCGCGGGCCCTTGTCCTTGGGGGCGTCGGACCCCTCTTCCTTCCGGGGCCGCGCGGCCTGCCACGCGGCGCCGATCTGCTCCGTCGTCGGCCGTCGGCCGCTGCTGCAGGGCGCGAGGGGCTCGGCGCTCGTGATCTCCCGGGGCAGGGCCGCGCGCATGGACTCGAGGAGCACCGTGGGCTGGCGCAGGCCCAGGAGCTGCGATTTCGTGAACGTGACGCCCGGCGCCTTGCGCACCGGCGGCGCCTTCGGGCCGGACGCCTCGGAGCCCTGCGACTCCGCGTTGGACACGCCCCGCGGCCGCGCGGGGCCCCGGTGGTCCCGGGTCCCGTTCCAGGCGTGGCGCCCGCCGGGGGGCGGGCCGCCGGGGAGCGGCGCGCCGAACGGCGCGCGCGGCGACCCCGGCGGCGCGCCGCCGTCCCCGTGGCCGTTCTCCACGGGGCTCGGCGCCTTCACCGGGGCCCCGAAGGTGCCGCCGTCCTTGCGCCACGCGGGGCCGAAGTTCCGCTTCGTCGAGGTCTCAGACATGGTTTTGGCGCGGCGGACACGCGGCGCGCGCTGAAGATCCGCGCGCTCCGGTCGCGCCGCGGATTTTCGCGGCTTTTCGCTCGAGGCGACCCGGGGACACCAAGGCGAGGCTTTTGAGGGCGCTCGACCGGAAAAAGGGGCGGTCGCGTAGTTCGCGCGTCGAGGTGCTCAGCGAGGCGCTCCGAGGCGGCACAGCAGCTGATGATCTCGAGCTCGACTCGCGAGCGAAGCGAGAGGCGATCCTCGCCGGGGTGTCGACGCCGCCGCGCGCCGGCGCGCCGGCGGCCGCTTCCGACGACGTCGGCGCGCCGCCGTGGCTCTGCGCGACCCGAGGACGCCTCCTCGCCCCTCGGGCTCGCGCGTGATCGGTCGACTCGCTTTCTCTTTCCTTCTCGGCGACGTATTTTGCTCTCGGAGCAGCCGTGGTAATGCTCCGAGCCGCCGCCGCACAAGCCTGAGCGTGGCTCGATGGCGCGTGAGACGCGACCGGAGGTCGGAAAACAAGGCTGACTCGGGTGTTGCTCCCTGTTGCTGGTCTTTGCTTCACAGTCACTTCACCTCCCACCCGGAACTTGAGGACTTGTCAGCGTTCCGTCAGCCTCAAGTTTTATCGAGCCGCATCACGCCACATCGCATCCATCAATAACGTGAGTCGCGCGCCGCGACCACCCCGCAGCTGCACTCCCGCACGCTCCCCGCCTCCCCCAGCAACCCCGCAACCCATCGGAACCCGCTCGCGCGAACCTCCCAATGCGAGAGACCGCGCGCGCACGTCATCGCATCCAACGCACGAAAACCCATAGGCAACAGCCATGCAGAAGCTCATCGTCGCCCTCGCCTGCTCCTCGGCCTCGGCCTTCGTGGCGCCGCACGCGTCCGTCAAGGCCGTGCTCAAGTCGGACCCCGTCGACGAGATCCCCGAGGTCGCGGAGAGCCGCTACGAGTTCGACAGCAATTTCGCTCTCGGCCTGCCCGGCAGCCTGCCGCCCATGGGCCAGTGGGACCCCGCGGGCTTCACCGTCGACGCCAGCGACAACGACATCCGCCGCTACCGCGAGGCCGAGACGCAGCACGGCCGCGTCGCCATGCTCGCGGTGCTCGGCTTCCTCGTCGCCGAGTCGTTCCACCCGCTCTTCGCGGACGTCAAGGGCCCGGCCATCGACCACCTCACCCAGGTCCGCAAGGAGTACCCCGCCTTCTTCGAGATCGGCGCCCTCGCCATCGGCGGCCTCGAGGTGAACCGCGCGCTCCAGGGCTGGGCGTTCCCCGAGAACCGCGCGGCCGTCGGCCAGCTCAACGAAGACTACTACCCCGGCGACGTCGGCTTCGACCCCCTGGGCCTCAAGCCCACGGACCCCGCCGAGTTCAACGAGATGGCGACGAAGGAGCTCCAGAACGGCCGCCTCGCGATGCTCGCGGCGGCCGGCTTCATCGCGCAGGAGCTCGTCAACCACAAGCCCATCCTCGAGACCCTCCGCCTCCTCCTCCTCCTCAACGAGTCCGAGATGGACAAGGAGTTCGGCCTCAACCTCCCCTCCGGCGACATCGCCACCATCGAGCGCGAGCTCGAGACCGGCGCGGCGGACACGTTCTTCAAGTGAGCGCGCGCCCCCGGCGCCGCGCGACGTGCTGCTAACCATGCCCCCGATCGGAGCTTTACAGGTCGTAGAGCGCGGCGTACTTGGCCTCGAGGTAGGCGAGGAACGGCTTCGGGTCGATGCCCGACCCCGCCACGGACCGGAGGAGGTCGTCGGGCGACGCGTCCAGCGAGCCCACGGCGTGGATCTTCGTCTGGAGCCAGGCGCGCAGCGGCGCGAAGTCGCCGCCGCGGATCTGGGCCGCGAGGTCCGGCAGCTCCGCCGTCGCCGCCTCGAAGATCTGCGCGGCCATGATCGCGCCGAGCGTGTAGCTCGGGAAGTAGCCGATGGCCCCGAAGGACCAGTGGATGTCCTGGAGCGCGCCGCTCGCGTCGTCGGGCACGTCGACGTCTAAAAACGTCTTCATCTCGCCGTTCCACCGCTCGGGGATGTCCGCGACGTCGAGCGAGCCCGCGAAGAGCTCGCGCTCGACGCCGTAGCGAAGGAAGACGTGAAACGGGCTGCGGGGGAGGAGGCGTCACGAACAAAGAAACAGAGAAAAAAAGAACGCGGGAAGAACGCACTACGTTAACTCGTCGGCTTCGATCCTGATGCAGCCCGGCTGGACGCGGTTGATCGCGCGGTAGAAGTCGTCGGGCGTCGCGTCCCTCGTGTGGGGGAACGCCTCGTGGAACAGGGGCGCCGCGTAGTCCCAGAAGTCGCGGCTCTGGAGGACCATGCGCTCCCAGAGGAGCGACTGGCTCTCGTGCGTGCCCATGGACAGCGCGACGGACGACGGCAGGCCGTCGCCGTCGTCGGACGTGTCGCGGCCCTGCTCGTAGAGCGCGTGGCCGACCTCGTGCACCGTGCCCGCGAAGCCCTCGAGCCAGTTGTCGTCGCTGTAGCGCGTCGTGATGCGCGTGTCCGCGGGGCACGCGCCGCCCGTGAACGGGTGCGTCGACACGTCGAAGCGGCCCTTGCCAAAGTCGAAGCCCATGTCCCTCGCGACGGCGGCCGAGAGCTTGGCCTGCGCGTCCGTCGAATCCTTCCAGCCCGGGTGGTCGAAGGCGAGGGCCGGGTGCACCGCGTCGTCGAAGCCGGCCCGCTTCTTCTCGAGGACCTTCGCGAGGAGCGGCGCCAAACCGGCCTTCGTCTCCGCGAAGATCGAGTCCAAGCGCGCCGACGTCATGCCGCGCTCGAACTGGTCCAGGGCGCCGTCGTAGGGCTCGACGCCGCTGAGCTCCGGCCGCGTCGCCGCCGCGACCTCGGCCTTGAGCGCGAACATCGTCGCGAGCGAGGACCCGAACGCGCCGAAGTCCGACGCCTCGCGCGAGCTTTTCCAGGCGACGAAGCACTCGCTTTCCAAGCGCGCCTCGCGCTCCGCGAGCTCCTTCGATTTGCGCGCCTCCTTGTCGAAGGCCGCGACGGCGTCGCGCACGTTCGCGGCGACTTGCCGGTCGTCGAAGTCGAGGCCGCGCACCGCGTCGACGGCCGCGCGCATGGCCGCGCCCGTGCGCTTGTCGTGGATGACGCCCGCGAGCGTCTCCTTTTGAGCGGCGCGCGACGCCATGCTGCCCTCGGCGAGGAAGACCTGCTCGTCGTAGGACAGGATGCCCTCGATTTCCTGCAGCCGCGCCACCTCCTTGAGCTGCTGCTTGAGCTCGGCGTAGGCCTCCAAAGGCGCGGCGGTGCTCGAGAGCTGCGACTTCTGACGGCGCAGCACGCGGCCGACGCCGCCGAAGGCCGACGCGCACGCGCCGAGCAGAGCAGTCATCCTTGCAAGACGGGACACAACCATCGGGGCTCGGCCAGCACAGGTTTGGCGAGGCTCGTTGGGGCAAATCGCAGCGCGGCAAACGAGCGCCGCAAACCGGTGTACAGCGGCAGCCGTCGCGTCGCGCGCCGCCCAGGATGCCCGCCTCCGGCCAGCACATATGCGGGAACAAGGCGTCGATCTTCACGCCCGTGATGCCCGGCGGCGGCGCCGCGGACGAGGAGCAGGCGTCGATCCAGGAGGCCATGAGCGCCGAGGTCGACAAGCGCATGAACAACGCCCTCAACGACCTCAAGGTCAAGTACGAGGGCGGGGGCTCCAACGAGGAGACGAGCGTCCACGGCCCCAACGGCGCGGCCTACCAGCAGAAGCAGCGCGCGATCGACGACGCGCAGAAGGCCGAGCGCGTCGCGGCCGCGCGCGCCGAGGCCGAGCGCGGCGAGGCGGTGCGGCGGCAGGACGCGCAGGCGCGGCTCGACGACGAGGGCTTCGACAGCGACGAGGAGTACATGGACGGCCTCCAGGACGCGGACACGGTGCTCCGCGAGCTCCGGGAGAAGCGCCTCGCGCAGATGAAGCAGGCGCAGGCGGAGAAGCTCGAGAACCTGGGCAAGGGCCACGGCCGCTACCACGAGATCTGCCAGGACGACTTCCTGAACGACGTCCTCAAGTCGCGGCACACGCTCGTCCACTTCTACCACCGCGACTTCGAGAACTGCAAGGTCATGCACCACCACCTCGAGAAGCTCGCGCCGCGCCACGTCGAGTGCAAGATGATGAAGCTCGACGCGGACAAGGCGCCCTTCTTCGTCCAGAAGCTCCAGGTCCAGGTCATGCCCACGGTCGTCATCTTCAAGGACGGCGTCGCGACGGCGCGCCTCGTCGGCTTCGACGGGCTCACGGAGGGCCTCGCGCCGGGGAAGGAGAACGAGTTCCGCACGGACGCGCTCGAGTCGTGGCTCGCGCGCGCGGGCTGCATCGAGTACGAGGCCACGGCGACGGAGGCGGAGATCAAGAAGTTCACGCTCGCCGGCGCGCGCGCGGCCCAGATGCGCGGCTACGCGGACGGCGCGCTCGACATCGAGGCCGACGGCGAGCTCGACGACATCCTCCGCGACGACGAGTAGAACGCGCGCGCGCCCTCGCGTGCCCTAGACGTTCTATGTAGCAGAGCGGGGGCGGATCGAGCAGGGTGTGCGGGGAGAGCTTCGGGGACTTGTGGGGGTTGGGACGGCGGCGGCGTGCACCCTCTAGGAGTACATGTCGTCGTCGTCGTCGCCGCCGCCCGGCGCGGGCGCGGGCGCGTCGCCGCCGCCGTCGGGCGCGGGCGCGTCGTCCGGGAAGGCGGCCTGGGCGCCGCCGCCCATGGCGACGGAGTCGAAGCCGTCGAAGAGGAGGTTCGCCGCGAGCGACTCGTTCTTGTCGCACGCGAGGTAGGCCTGGACCGCGTCATCGCGCGAGAAGCCGAGCTCCTGGAGGCGGCCGACGGCGTCGGCCTCCTCGCGCGTGAGGCGGACGACGTTGCCCGCGCCGCCGCCGCCGCCCGGCGGCCCGCGGCCGCCGCCGCCCATGCCGCCGCCGCCGGAGATGGCGCCGAGGAGCTGGCGGAGCTGGTCCCGGGGCATGTTCTGCATCTGCTCCGCGAAATGCTCGAACTGGTCCGGCGTGAGGCCGATGGTCGCGGCGAGCTGCGCGCGCTGGGCCGGCGTGATCGCCGCCATGGCGCGCGCGAACTGCGCCGCGTCGACGTCGGCCGCGTCGTCGCCCGCGGGCGCGGCCGGCGCGACGGGCTCGTTCATCATCTGGAGGAACTCGGCCTGGTTCGCGTGGATGAGCGCGAGCAGCTCCGGCGAGTCGCGGCCGATGCCCGCGAGGACCTGCTGGAGCGCGCCCGGGTTCGCCTGGATCGTCCGGCGCAGGTCGTCGAACTGCGGGTGCGCGCGGAGCGTCGCGAGCGGCGACGCGCCCGCGTCGTCCATCGCCGCGTCGCCGTCGCCGTCGAGGTTCGCGCCCGTGAGCGCGGCCTCGTCGGGGATGCCGTTCATAAGGAACTCGACGGCGAGGTCCACGTTGCCCATGGCCGCCTCCAGCGCCGCGCGCGACTGGTCCGCGTGGCCAAAGCCCATGGCGTCGAGCTGCGCCAACGCCTCCGCGGTCACGTGCGGCGACGCCGCGGGGCTCTGGAGCCCCGCGGGCGTCTCCGCGGGCGCGGGCGCGGGCGTCGGCGCGGGCGCCGACGGCGCCGGCGTCGACGGCGGCGGCGCCGCGGGCGCCGCGGCCGGCGCCGGCGCGGGCGCCGCCGCGGGCTTGGGCGCCGCCGCGCGCTTGGGCTTCGTGACCATGCACACGAGGAACGACTGCTCCGTGACGCCCTTGTCCGCGAGCGTGTCCTCGTCCTTGAGCACCTTGCCGCTGTGGATGAGCTTCATCGCCGCGGCCTTGAGCTCCGGCTGCGACGCCTCGATGAGGCCCTTGACCGCGCCGATCGTCGACTCCGGCGCGGCCTCGACCTTGAAGAGGCGGCCCTCGAGCGTCTTCACCGCGACGAGCATCCTACGATGGGTCGCGTTCGTTTTCCTCGTTCCCGGCGGTCCCCGCGCGCCGCGCGCGCCGGTTCCGGCGCGAGGCTCGGTTCAAAACCCTCGGCCGCAAATTTCGGGCCTTCCGCTGCGGATTTTCGGGCCCCGGGGCTTTTGTGTGTTTCGTAGTGGTTCGAAGCGATGAGGTGGAGTTTACGCGGGTCGCGCACGTTGGTGTTGGCGTTCGGCCGCGCGTCGCCTCGCTGCGCTGTCCGCGACTCGGGCCTGGTCTTCGACCTCGACTAGAGCTAGTCTTTCCCATGCGGCGCGCTGCTGCTGCGCGGCGTGTTCGACGCGCGCGCGCGGGAGCCCTGCCCGCTGCTAGATCTCGTGTTTAACCGCCACGCCGCTTCCTTTCGCCTGGGAGTTCCCGTCGTCCGCGCGGACCCGGCCGACTCGGGGGGGTGGCGCGGCTCGCGGAGCTCGGCAGCATCTTCGCCGCCGCCGCCGCGGAGCCGGGGTCGACGCTCATGTCGAGTATTCTCCCCTCGACGTTCGGCTGGGCGATCTTGCGGACCGCGCCGCGCATCGCGTTCAGCACCGTGTTGGCGGGCTGGCCGGCGAAGGCGCAGAGGCCGGCGCCCGAGTACGCGTCACGATCACGAGCTTGGCGGGAGGGGCCTTGTGCTCCTCCGGGGCGCTCGAGCGCGCCGTGGACTTGTCGCCGCATCCCGGAGTTTCGAGCGACGATCCGCCGTATCGCGACCGCGACGCTCGAGGAGGCCGACGACCTCATCAACGCGAACGTGGCGTCGGGCACCATCAACATGAGCCTCAACAACGCGCAGGCACAGTGGCAGGACCCGGGCGTGCGATGTGGCAGCGGTCGCCGAGGTTGACGAAGACCTTGGGTCGCCGCCGCCCGGGCCGGGCTTGCCGCCCGGGGCGGGCTGCCGCCCGGCCCGCGGCACGAGCGCGAGCTCGGCCCGGGCGCGCTTCGCGTCGTCCTCGAGGCGTAGCGCACGTCGCTGGGGGTCCCCACGACGGCGGCGACGACCGCGGCGACCGCGACGGCGCGTGGGCCGCCGCTGCTCGACGGCGGGTTCGACGACCTCCCGCTCGACGAGGTGGACGAAGGTCGCCGCCGGGTCGAGCTCCTACTTCCGCGAATGCACAAGACGAGCGCCAGAAATGCCGTAGCCTCCCCCGGGTTCGCCCCACAACGAACGCGGGGCCAGCTGCCGCCTCGAGGCAACGACCGCACCACGCACCCCCTCCCCCAAAAAATACCAAACGCGCCCGGTTAAAAATCGCGCGCGGCCGCGCCTACTTCTTCGCCGCGGCTTCCCTCGCTTCTCGCAGGATGTCCTGCCGGCTCTTGAAGGCCGGGATCTCCGCGGGCTTGGGCGTCGCCGTCATCTCCCGCTTGATGGTCTCGGAGATGGACTTGGCGAACGTCGACGCCGAGTTGACCGCGCCCGCGGCGTCCTTCACGTCGACCTTCTCGACGACGGCCTTCTTCATCTCCTGGACCTTGTGGTCCGTGCGCAGCGCGAAGCGCTGGAACGACTTGCTGTTGCTCAGGGTCTTGACGACGACCTCGTTCGCGAGCCAGTTCGCGACGCGCTGGACGAAGGGGTTCGACATGGTTCGAGGCGCGGCGCGGTTCGGCGCGCTGGGAGCGTTGACCGCAGGTGCGCGCGCGACGGGCAGCGGCGGGCGCGAGTCGGGAGAGTCGGGGTGCGGTCGTCGCCCGATGGAACAGCTCCACGCCCAGCAGGACGACGTCGACGACGACGCTCTCCCGCAAGTTCGCCGGGGGTCGAGGCTGCAGACGCCGTCGGGCTGGACGACGTCCGCAGGCCTCGACGCACGTCCCGACATCAACCATTACAGGGCAGGAGAAGAGAGGCCGCGGCGCGGGGCTCGTTTGAGAGGCCCGCGCGGCGGGCTCGGGGGGGGAGGAGGAGGAGACGAGGCCCTCTACAGAGCCGCGAGGATCAGACCCTCGGCCTTCGCCGCGGCGGCGGCGACGCGGTCCGCGCCGCGCGCGGGCGCCTCGCAGCGCCAGAAGGTGATGGACCGGCGCCCCACGACGGCGGCCTCCGTGTAGCGGATCTGCATCGCGAGGCTCGACGCGAGGACGTCGGAGATGTCGCGCATGATGCCCGGCCGGTCGACGACGTCGCAGGCCACGAGCAGCAACCGATCCGGGCTCTCCGGGTCCGGCAGCGCGACGACCGTCGGCGGCGCGATGGCCTCCAAGCCGTCGGCGACGGGGTTCGCGCCGCCCATGCCGCCGTTCTGGCGGACGACGAGGCGGAGCGCCTGCACCGTGTCGCGCTTCGACGCGAGCGACGGCGTCGCCGGCGGCGGCGGCGGCGCCGCGCCCGACGCCGCGACCTCCCCCAACTCCGAGTCGTCGAGGGACGCCATGGCCGCGAGCGCGCGCTGCTCGGGCGTCAGCGAGCTCACGGGCCGCGCGGGCGGCCGGTCGACGACGCGGTGCTTCGACGCGAGGACGAGCACGGACTTGGTCGACGGGTCCTTGGCGGGCTTGCGGCGCCGCGCGCCGCCGTCGGCGTCGGCGACGACGACGCCGTCGTCGTCGTCGTCGTCGTCCGAGGGCGCGACGTCCTCGCGCTTCACGAGCGCCTTCGACGCCGCGCGGTGGCGCACGCACCACTCGACGGCGTGCTGCACGTTGTCGTGGAACCACTCGTAGCCGAGCTTGCGCTGGGCGCCCGCGCGCCGCAGCGTCTCCTCGACGCGGGACCCGCAGGACGCGAGGCAGACCTGCATGCCCCGGCGCCGCAGGTCGGCGAACAGATCCTCGAGCATGTGGATCGCCGTCGAGTCGAGGGACATGACCGGCGTCATCTCGACGACGACGTACTGCGTGTCGCCCTCGCCGAACTCGCCGCAGAGCTTCAGGATCGTCTCCTTGATGTAGGCGACGTTCGCGAAGTACATCGACGCGCCCACCCGTAAGACGAGGACGCCCTTGACGAACTGGCCCGGCGACTCGCCCTGCTTCACGTTGCGGAAGATGGACGTGCCCGGCAGCTTCCAGAGCACGGCGATCTGGGGCCGCACGGACTCGCTCAGCACGATGGCGAGGGACACGCCCACGGCGATCGCGAGGCCGTAGATGACGCCGAGGAACAAGACCCCGAAGCACGCCAAAACCCACAACACGAAGTCCTTCTTCTGCACGTGCCACAGGTGCTTCGCTTCGGAAATAGCGACCAGATTCACGACGGAGGAGATGACGATCGACGCCAGCACGAACTTGGGCAGCTTCCGGATCCAGTCCGGCAGCGCGACGAGCGCGAGCAGCACGACCATGCCCGTGACGAAGCCCGCGAGGGGCGTCTTCGCGCCGATGGAGTTGGACACGGCGCTCCGCGAGAAGGACCCGGCGACGGGGTAGCCCGACGCCAGCGACCCCACGATGTTCGCGAGGCCGATCGCGCACATCTCCTGCCCCGCGGGGAGCTCGTCGCCGTGCTTCGCCGCGAGCGACTTCCCGATGGCGATGGACTCCATGAAGCCGATGAGCGCCGCGGATAGCGCCGTCGGGAGCACGAGGGACGCCTTGGACAGCGCGTCGCGCTTGACGACGCCGAAGGACGACGGCGGCAGGCCCGAGGGCACGAGCCCGATGACCTCGACGCCGTAGTCGTCCCTTAGCTGCGGGCAGAGCACCATGAGCACGAGCGACGTCGCGCAGACGACGAGGGGCCCCATGGGCTTGAGGAACCCGAAGCGCTTCGGCTGGTCCACGGAGAGCTTGCGCACGCCCCAGAGCATGCCGTACGAGGCCGCGCCTAATACCGCGCACATCCACTTGGCCTCGCCCCGCGCGATCTTGCCGCCGAGGAGGCCCAGGGTCACGTAGACGTACTGCGACTTCGGTAACGCGACGCCGAGCCAGTACTTGACCTGGCTCAGGCCGATGATGATCGCCGCGCCCGACGTGAAGCCCGACACGACCGGGTGGCCGAGGAAGTTGACGAGGAAGCCGAGCTTGCAGAGCGACCCGCCGAACTGGATGAGGCCGGCGAAGAACATGGTCACGAACACCAATTCCGCGTAGGCGTCCGGGCACGTGCCCGCCAGCGAGTCGTCGCCCGCGAGCGCGCGGTGGTGCGCGTCGTCCTCGAAATACGCGGGGCACTCGTCCTCGTCGAGCGCGTCGCGCAGGCCCGCCTCGACGAGGAGCGACACCATGGCCACGGGGCCGACGGCGAGCTGGCCGCTGCCGCCCGTGACGGCGTAGATCAGCGTCGGCGTCATCGACGCGTAGAGGCCGTAGACGTATTCCAGACCGGCGATCGACGCGTAGGACATGGACTGCGGGATGACCATGACGCCGACGGTGACGCCGGCGATGATGTCGCTCTTGAAGGAGTCGAGGGTCGTCTTCGGGAGCCAGCCGACGACGGGGAACGTGTTCCGGACGGCGGCCGTCGCCGCCTCGGCGCACGCGGCGCGCTTGTCCTTTTCGCCGTCGGGCGGGCCGAGCAGGTAGGTCGACGCCTTCTCGCAGGCCGCGCCGATCTTGCCGCCGCCCGTGCTGCGCTCCGGGTCCGGCCGCAGCCGCAGGCGCACGGCGGCCTCGAGCGACGCCTCGACGGACAGCGTCGGCAGCTCGAGCATGTAGAGCGACTCCGCGTCGTCGGCCGACTCGACGCGCTGCGCGAGCGGCTCGGCGTCCTCCTCGGCGCCGTGGCGGCTCAGGGCGCCGCTCGCGAAATACTCCATGGTGTGTTTCGGGTCGCGAGCTTTTATGCGTCGCAGACGGCGCTCGCGGACGCGTCCTCGAGGTGCGTCGCGTCGAGGAGATTTTTCCGGCGAGTGAAGACCTCAACGAGGCCGTCAGCCCCTTCAATACCCGCGCCGCCCCACCCGTCGCAGCACGATGCCGGTCGCATCTGCGCTCCGGGCCGTGATGCTGTTCGGATCGGTGTCGGCGAAGGATCCCGCAGTAGTAGGCGCGCCGGCGGAAACTGCTGCAGAGGCAGCGCCTGCCGACGAGACATCGGGGCAGCCCGGGGCAGCGTCGCAGCAGGAGCAAGACACCGGGGCAGCATCGCAGCAGGAGCGAGACACCGCGACAGAGGAGCATGAAAAAGCGCAAAAAGAAGACGCGCAACCAGAGAAGGAAAACGCGCCGCCGCCGCCGCCGCGCGTCAAGTACGTCTACGCGCCGCCGGCGCCGCCCGCCGAGGCGCGCGCGCGAACGCCCCGGGCGAACCCGCCGGACCCCGTCGTCCGCGTCGTCTGTTACCTCTGCGGCCGCGCCGCGGGCACGAAGTCCATCCGCTTCCACCACGCCAAGTGCGTCGCGCGCTGGACCGACGGGCCGCTGCCGTTCGCTCCGAGCCTCGACGCGATTCCGGACGCCGCGGGGCCCGAGCTCGACGCCTACAACGCGCGCGCGAAAGCGGCCTTCGACGCGCACTCGACCTGCGCGTGCAAGCTCTGCGGCAAGCGCATCCGGCGCGTCGACGCGACGCGGCACCTGCGCGACGACTGCGTGAACCGGCGGCCGACGGCGCGGAAGCCGCCGAAGCGCGGCTTCGGCGGCGGCGACTCGCGCAAGCCGGACATCCCCGAGTGCAACCTCGACAACGGCGGCGCGCCGCGCATCCCCCTGCCCGCGCATCCGATGCTGCGGGAGACGCCGAGGAGCCTGCTGCCGGCGCCGGCGCCGCGGGTCCACGAGGCGCCGCCGTCGCCCTGCCGGCGCGCGGCGGCCAAGGACCCGCGCGTGCTCGAGCGGCGGCGCGCGGCGGCGCTCCTGCGGGGAGAGGGGAAGGAAAAGGCGGCGCGCGCGGAGCTCCGCCAGGCGGCGCAGGCCGAGGCGTCGCTGGTGTCTGCGTTTCGGCGGAAGCGGGAGGGGGACAAGAAAGGGATGGTGAGGTGATTTTAGTTGGGAGTCGAGCTTCACCGAAGGCGCTGGGTCGACTTCGGGGCCGCTGAGGCGTCCTCGCGCCGGGCCGCGGCCGGGGGTCCAGGCTTGGGCCCGGCCCGGTCGAGCCGATCCTCTCGAACACCTCTTGATTTCAACATCCAGCATGGGCCCGTGTCCGTCACGTGACTCGCGTGTACTACTTTGTCTCGCAACTTCGCAACCCCCGTCAACCCTCCCCATCGCCTCTGCCACCTCCCACTACCTATTGCGCGCGCCCTCCCCGGACTTGATCGGCTCCGCGGAGGCTGCGGACGCCCCCCGGCCGAAGCGGCCGAATCTAATGCCAAAAATCACTCTCAAAAGCCCCCAGAACCCATCTCGGCCCCCTCCCCCGCCTCCCATCCGACCGCAACCCCAATACAACACCCACCAACCCACCGCGCACCTCCCGAAGCGGATATCCGGCCGAAACGGGACGATCGCCCGACCGCAAGATCCCGCCCGACCAACAGCAACTCGAAATTCCCGCGCGACCTTTCCGAACACCCCCACTCACCCCTCAACTCCCTCCGCAGACACTCAATCACAATGAAGCTCGCCCTCGCCCTCGCTCTCGTCGCCCCCGCCGCCGCCTTCCAGGCGCCGGCCACCCAGAAGGCGTCCGTCGTCGTCAAGGACTCCATCGGCGTCGACCCCGGCCCGATCGAGCCCTCCGGCCTCTTCTGGGAGGACAAGGAGTCCCTCGCGCGCCGCCGCGCCGTCGAGATCAAGCACGGCCGCATCTCCATGATGGCGTTCCTCGGCATGATGGTCCAGGAGCTCGGCATCACCTTCCCGGGCTCGATCAACCTCGACGGCTCGGTCCAGTTCTCGGACATCCTCAAGGACGGCATGGGCTTCGCCGCCCTCGCCAACGTGCCGACGCTCGGCCTCGTGCAGATCCTCGCCTTCGGCGGCATCGCCGAGACGGTCGCCATGCCCGCCACGGAGTACACGGGCGGCCCCCAGAACCTCCCCGGCGGCTACGACGGCTCCGCGGGCACCATCCCCGGCGGCTACCCCTTCACGACCCAGATCGAGGACCCCACGGCCCGCACGCGCGCGCTCACCTGCGAGCTCCAGAACGGCCGCGCCGCCATGATGGGCGTCACGGGCGCGATGATGCACTCCCAGCTCGACTCGTGCGACCACCACTTCTTCTACCCCATCACGCACAACTAAGCGTCGCGTGACGACCGCGGCCGGCCCGCGCGAAGAACAAGAACCTCCAATGCTGTACGGTGCCCCGTCGACCCCCGGGTCGTTGCCGGAAAGTGTGTAAATACTGTCGCACCTCTACTTTTGTGTCGGCGCGGGAGGTAGGTTCATTTCGACGGCTCCCATCGCACGTCCGACAGGTAGGTTCATTTCGACGGCTCCCATCGCACGTCCGACTCCTGAAGGCTCGTCGATCGCCGCGACCGCCGCGCGCTTCGCGATGCCCGCGGCTGGAAGAGCTCGCGTGCTCCTCGACGAGGCACGTCGAGGCCGGGCGGCGGCGACGGCAGCGCGCAGCTGCAGGGGTCTTCTCACAGCTCCGGCCCCGTGCAAGTTGACGTGCAACTTGTCAAGTTGATGCTCTGCACGCGGGCGATTGCGAAAAACGCCAATGGAGCAGCCTGCGCAGGCGCAAGCGTCGAAGAAGGGCGGCCGGCTGAAGAAGCTGCGCAAGTGGGTCGCGCGCGGCGACGTCTACAACAAGGCGCGCCTCGACGAGTGCGTCGCCGCCGGCCTCGCGCCGCAGCCCACGGCCAAGGTCGTCCCGCCGCAGAGCGGCGGCCGCGTCGCGCACATGAAGAAGGACGTCGGCGGCCTCGTCTGGCGCGTGCTGGCGCCGCGCCTCGCCGACGGCTGCTACGTCGAGCCCGAGTCGTCGCGCGACGCGGCCAAGGAGTGGCCGCCGTGGCTCGAGGTCGGCAACGCCGCGGCCGTCGCGCGGCTCGTGCTCCTGTCCGTCTCGGGCCTCGACGACGCGACCCTGCCGTCCCTGCAGGGCGGCGTCAAGGCCAAGTGCTACGAGACGCGCCACGCGCCGGGCGAGCGCCGCGCGCTCGACGCGGTCGCGGCGGCGCCGCCCCCGTGGGAGGCGCCGCCGCCGCGGAAGAAGAAGCGCGGCCGGGGGATCCTCAGA